CAATCATCTTTATTTCTCAAGGGTTCAATTTAGCAATCAATTGTTCCAAAAATTAAAATTTACGAGTCCAATGACAAATGCAGGAACTTTATGTACGCGGAAATCCCAACTATGACTTTTTCAATCAAGAGAAATTGCCGAGTATAAGAGTATAAAACAAATTTAGTTTTACTCATTTTTGAATAACAACAAATTTAACTGCATCATTGCAATTGTATCGTTCTCGCCTTACTCAGAATTTCCGCATTTTTCTGTAATCTAACTGACTTATTATTCTTACAAAATTGTATCGTATTTTCCATTTGAATGTTGAGATAATCACCAGTCAGCTCCGGAATGTTTTCACACTCATAATTCTACTTCGACGTCAAAAATTAGAATGATCACTGGGTAATAATTTTCAACGGGCGCTTCAAGTTATTAGTGACTACAATGCTTCACAATTACAGATCGTTTTCACTTCAAAATTTTCCGATCTTAAAATGTATAATTTCTTCCACAGTTTTATGTGAAATTCCGTCTAATGTAAATTGTAGGTATGGAATCATGCGTTATCTTGAAACTGCTAACTCATGCTGTAAAATTGAAGTTAGGTCACTTTTTCTTATCAATTTCGGAGATAAACCGGTGAGGATGAAATTGAAGCATGTTACTTCGAAATAGTTAGAGCTTTGTTTTTGGGATGTATTTCACCCATAGAAAAATGAGGCATCTGACCCAGCAAACGGGGTTATCACAACAGATAGCTTCACCGCGATGCCTTCAAAATAGTCCTGCAATTTTCGCACTTTTCCCTTGGACCAGGAATCCGAGTCAACCTTGCATAACAAGGCCAGTGCATCTGGTCACTGTGACAGCACTTGGTCACGCAGCAGCACGCCATTGATCTAGTTTCTCCTCTTCTTCTCAAAATGTCCATAGATCCGGTGCGGACAGTTCACACAACATTACCCGCAACCGGCAAGTGGCTGAAGCTCATGAAACAACTCCGCTCCATCTACTCAGACAGTGTGCTTGAGTCTTCAGGCGTGGAAACGAGAATCCGACCTCAGAACTGGAACGACCTTTGGAGCAGACTTCCCGCGTCACCCACATCTACGACAGCGGAAGAACAACGTGGTCCTCAACAAGAAGTGAACCTTTTGGTAGTGTCCAATTCGACACGAGAAGGCGACTACGAACCCATGGCTATGCTCTTGCCATCCACACTGATGAAAGAGCTCACGGACACAGCCAATTCCTTACCAGAGTTTCCCTTGACGCAGATTCTTGCCAGTCTCCTGAAGCCCGTGGTGGTGACTGGACTGGGTAAAACTCCAGTGTACTTTGAAGAAGCCTTAGCACAAGTGGTTGATGGTCCAGGTCGACGTCCGTTCCTTCGAGTCATCAACTCCACACTGCGGGATGAACAAGTTTTGGACTCTGTGCTCTCAAAGACACTCGGTGTCGAAGTACCGCATTTGGAAACACGAGCTCCGAATGCCCCTGGGAGCCAAGACCACGTCATAAACATAATACTCATAAACTACCTGCCAGATGACGAAGAATCAAAGCATCATGGAACACAAGCCCTGGATGTTGTCAACATGCGTCCGGTATCGAATCAAGGACCACTGCCACCACCGTACCCAGCGCAGATTCCCGATGGACCCATCGGACCTTCACAATGGGATAACACATTTCAAGACCTGTTTCACAAATTGGCTGAAAGTCAGCAGCAGGCAAAGCCAAGCAGCGTGAGCTCTTCGGCAGTTGGATACACAACCTCTGGGGCCACACCAGGAGGAACGTATTCCCTGGCTATGACTCCTTCCGGTGCCGTTGGTGGCCATCAAGGGGTTAGCAGTAGTAGTAGTGGAGCTAATGGCGAGAGACCCCTGTTGGAGACAAACCAGCACTTGCCAGTACCAGTGCAGCTAGAGAACAAGCTGTGGACTGCCACAAACGGAAGCAAATCATCAATGGGCCCTTTCGGAGCGCAGTATGTTGACTCTGCTGGTAAGAGGAATCCCGCTGGGCTTTTTCCCCCTCGTACCCCTCTCCCTTCCCCTGCTGTTGCCGCCAGACCCCAGGTACAGCAGAGAAATAACCCTGTTGCACTGGCCCTTGAACCCGGGAAACAGACTGCGCAGGTACTCATGACTGTGAGCAACAGTCAGGAGCCCACGCCAAATTTCAGCAGGATCTCCATGGCTGCAAGGCTCGCCATGTTGCCAACACTAGCTGCTGGGGCAGCAGCTGTCTGGCCTCTCTGGATCAGACTTTTCTCCAGTTTGGGGGCCAATTCCAGACGAAGATCTTCCAACAGAAAAGAACAAGTTGGTGAGGACTATGAATACTTCACGGGACCCAGTGAGCAAATGGCTACGGTCAAGAAGAAACCTAAGCAAAGCGTGCGAATCAAACGCTCCATGCCACAGGAGCTCCAAGATTTCCTTTACTGGCTCCAGACTCAAAAGATCGCCTCCACAACCACTCTAAAACCGGTCAGTGCAAAAAAAGATGAGAAAAACTTGCTCAAGTGGCTGGAAGTTTCTTCCCCGAAACCCAAGGAGTCAGATCCCATGATTCAGTTTAAACCTGCCCAACCAAAGGGTATTCTTACCAAAGAGAATGACGGTACTTTCATCCAAACCCAGCTCACAGTTATGGATAGCGATAAAAGTGATTACTATCCCCTCAATCACCACAACTCCACAGCTTACCCAAGCTTCTTGAAGAACAAAAGCAAGAAACCACATTTGTCACTCTTGTCTGTGACTCTGTCGCCACTGAGACCCGTGACTTCATCATCCAATGGACTTGTGACATTTACATTCGTTCAAGATGTGCCTGACATGCTCAAAAAGCCAGATGCTCAGAAAAAGGAAGGTTACTACTCATCAGAACCAGTTGCAGAGAAGTACACAGCAACTTCGAGTCCCCTAACTTACATAAACGGGGTCCCTGTTACTGCAGAGATGCTAAAGAATGAGAGCTTCATGAAGGAAAAGTTCGGGAATGACGTGCTGGAGATATTGGGCAGCCAGACAACGTCTTGGTTGCTAGATCATGGACACATGGAAGAAACCTTCAGCTTACACACGACAACCACAATGAAACCTCCTACAACACCAGAACTCGAACGTGAAAAGCTGCACTCGTCCGGACAAAACCCCTTCAGATTGCACCCTTTCGGGAATCAGTATCAGAGTACGCTCCACGACTATTTGCTCCACAAGGACACAGTCACAACACAACAAAACGGGTACTACTCTCATCACTTCCCGACACCTTCACCAACGAGAGGCGGTTCTGGGGCCACACAGTTCCTATCCCAGACTGTGTCCATGACACCTTCCAGCCTTAACCAACACCAATCCACAAAATCCCAGCATTCTACTAACCCTTACTACCATTTCCTGAGCCCGACTTCGACCGTAAAGTCTAATGTTGTTTCAGGTGAGGACGACACTAGCTCGTGGCAAGTACGGCCAACAGCGAGCACCACACACTACTCGCACTACTACCCTTCCTCCAGCACCTCGCACACTGGTTACACTTACACTGCCACTCAGAAACCCGAGAGCTTTTTTGTAGACCGAAACCCGGAACCCGACGTAACAACAACTACTACGACCACTACAGAAGCACCAGTGGAGTTTGAAACATCCGTGATCACAAATGCCGAGTCCACTGGAGTCAGGGTACAACTACGTCCCATGGGAGTACTTGGATCATTGGCTGTTGTCCTGGGTGGATTGGGAATGGGTGTCATGCTGTTCCCTGCATTGTCGGTCACATCACTGGCTGCGCCTTTCGGACGTCGGCAAGACAACAACCAAGCTTCGAACCCACCAGCTGAATACGTGTACGATTACGACGACGAACCCGTGAATAGAGGTTCGCAGATTTCGCGGGTCGATGCAAAAACAACCAAGATGTTGGCGGCAAATGCGAAGAGCAGCAGCAAGAAGAACACGAAGCAAGCAGCAACAACAGCCTCATACGCAAAAAAAGCCCCGTCGGACTACAACGATTATTATTACGACTATTACGAAACGAGTCCTGGAGAAGTACCAAACAATGTAAAAACAAAATCCGAATCACCACACGTGTTGCGGCGATTGGTGGAGAATGTGAAATCCGCGATGGACTATCTTAAAAGAAAAGATACTAAATCGCGGCCAATGGCTTCAACAGTTAATAGTAGAGTTTCTCGACATGGCAGTAAGAAATCATAAATGATTCACTCTTTCCCAGCTTCTGTGCCTTTGCCATTCTCCAGAAATGCTACCGGTATATATATTTTTTTGTTGAAAGAACGGTCTACCCTGGAGCTTGGGGTGCTTTTCGGAGATCTCTGATGCAGTATTGAAATAATTTATCGCTAAACTAGTATCTAACAACATCTCTTTAATTTGATTTTTCGAGTGCATGTATTTATTATGAGCAGCCCAAGACATTTTCTGGGTCATCCCGAATGTGATATTGTCAAGGAATGCTCGCGGTTCATATTGTTACTCAATCCATGCTTTCTCAGACTTCGTTTGAGATGTTTGACCTTTGTTTTGATTCAAATGTGCGGAGAATTCGGGGCTCACGGAGAAGTGTTGGTAATAATGTGCAGTGAATCGTCCGTCTGATTGTGCGAGGAGTTCGTGTATTGAAAGTGAATTACACGTTCAGACGCAGTCTACAGTATTCTGTAAGTTGCTTCAGATTATTTCATATATTGTGTCGGATCTAAAAGAAATTTTTTTAAATGATGAAATCAAGCATCAAAATTTTCTTCTTCTGGTGTTCGACGGTAGTCGGTGTTCTCTTTGTAACCAGAATTACTATTTATAAACGAAGTACTGTACAAGGAACCGTTCTCTCGATTTTGCAGCTATCAAGATTTGAAATTCGTCTCGAGTGAAATATATTGAGGGAGAAGAATTAACCCATGTACTGACGTACGGTATTGACCTGCTAAATCCTACAGCAGCACCAAGCTCAGGAAAATGAAATTCCAAAAGTACGCAAAAAGCACAAAGGCGTTGCACTTCGTGGTCTAGCAAAAGTCTTGGATCACATCAAAAACTCACTAACCCTTGACCAAACAAATCGAAGAAGCTTGAAAATAGAAAATGCCTAGCGAATTCAAGCTGGCTTGTAGTTGCCTTCTGGTGTGTACCACCACTGACCAGTCAAGATCCTTCGAAACAGTTCTTTAAGCAGCATCCTTCTCTCTTTCTGGGCTTTACTGAGAACACCTTTGTTTTCTTCTGCCCGGCGAGATAAGTACGGCAACACCTCGAGGATTGGACCATAGGGAACATACTTGTACACCGAGTAGCCTCCCTGGCCTGTAAGAAGACGAATTAACAGGTTTTTTGACATGGTCTACTCAAAGGCAACACAGGAATCTTATACTAGTCAAACACGCGAAGTTTGAGGCAACTGTGGAACAAAGACAATAGATTGAAGAGAAAAATTACTCAAGAATGAAACGCTCACCAAGTGGGAATGAAACCTGATCACACATTCCATAGAGTTGTCCAAAACAAACTATCTTGTCTGATGGCAGAATGTCGAACTCCTTCATCCTGAAAACAAGAGTGGAAGGCTTATTCCAGTATTTCAATATTAATCTAAATCAGAAAGCCATTGGATCCAAACGAACCCGTTTCCAGTCAAGACTTAAAACAACACGTCTCCAGCAATAACCTCGAACTTATGACATCAACTTACCTCGGGCAATGTACAGTGGGTCCCTGCATAACGACCCAATCCATTATGAGTTTCGTTATACCGAATTTTTGTGATTTCATCGTAATAACGACCCAATCCATTGAGTTTTATTTATTTATTTAATTGGTTCCAACCACTCACAAGAAGATAATATAGAAATACACCATAACATTTGCCTATTTTTCTGCAGGAAAATTGGAAATTCAATAATACTTAGCATGCCACCTCGAGGAAATAATCCAGCTCGCTTGCAACTTTCACAATGTCTCGCATTGTGGAAACAAGAAGTTGAAAACTTATGTGATTATCGAAAAATGCTTGCGCTTTCGTTCACAAATTTTCAAAATTTGCGCATTTTTGGGCCAAAATTTTTTTTATGCGACATAATTTTGTAATGCGTGCAATACTTCACCCCTAGAATTTTTGTTCGTAGATCTTTTCTTACGCGGGGACTCGCTGAATAGCAACTTTTTCTCTCATTTGATTATTAATCATCTAGGCTTTCACAGAATAAGAAGCTTCTTCCGCGAGAGCAAAATACTAATACATAGGCACTTGATCCCCGAATATCCGCAAACCGGAATGTTGACTCACTGTTGGACAGCAAACCGAATGCTTTCTTCATTATGACTAGCCACCATGATAGCAACTCTGTTCGGCTTGCCCTTCAGAGTCATTTTAAACTCCTTGGCCCTTTTGACAACCTCCAGCAAGCATTTGTGGTACATTTGGTTAGTGGCTTCATAGGACGGGTTGATTGGGTCTTCATAACCCAATGCTTTAGCACGAGCACGTTCTTGATCCATGTAAGCACCTCGCACAAGTTTCGCGCCGAAATAAAAGTTCTGTCGCCTTGCTTGCTCCAGATCGAACACGAGATTGTCGTAAGAGTCCTTTAGGTAGCACTGGTAAGTGTTGAATACAATCGCCTGGAATCACAACATAAATCAGTAATGGTCAGGATTACATCAAGTCATGATCGATCAGAATGAAAAATAAAGGCTATGTACTTGAAATTTTATTTTTTCCTGAAAAAAAGTTTAGTTGACCAACCTTTTCCGTGTTATATTTTCTCATCATTTCAACGGTCAATCTGGAAATCGCAGGCTGAAAGTAAGTCTGTTCAGCATCCACCATCACTCTGACATCACGCTCTTTTGCATACTGGACACCCGGAAAACATTTTCAGTTACAATTGAACAGTTCCAATTGAAACTCGAAAACACAGTACTGTACCTCGAAAACTGTCCTTAGCCTCGTCATCATATTGGAAAACATTTGTTCTTCATCGTTGGTGAGTGAACCAATCAAGGGTACCATCTTCCCGGATTCCAAACTTGGAACTTTGAAGGCATCCAAAAGCAGGACGTCATCATTCAGTAAACCTCCCCAGGAGAATAAATGAATTAACCTGGAAAAAATTTAAGCGCGACAAACATTTAAAAAAAGAAACCCCCACTACGAATCATGAAATCAGATTCAGGGAAAAACTCACCCTTTCTGGTCATACGTCATGTGCTGTGCAAACTCTCTCACGACATCAGGCTTCACAGGGCTCATTTCTTCAAGTTTTTTCTCGAAATCTTGCGGGTCAACATCCAGCTTCATAATTGGAGTACCAGAATCTGGCGTCATACCGACAACTTCCCTAACATAGCACCGTGTTTTCGCAATGGTCTCTGAAAGCTTCAGCTTTAAAAATTTCAAAGGCATTCAATCCGAGTTTCGACGGTCAATTCATCAAATAACATACCAATAACTGAGGCCTCCCCAAAGCAGTAAGCTTGATAGCAGCAAAACCAGTTCCCTGGGTGGAATCTGCACCGAAAAGAGATTTCATTTCATGTTTTCAAATCTCATTGCAGGAGTCATGGTACACAGATCATCAGAATTTCTGACTAGCAAGAGAAATACCTTCACTGAACATGAGGGACATTGATTTTCGACGCCGCTTATCAAAAGACAAAAGTCAGTCTGGCTTAGGAATTCTCATATTTTCACATATTTAAAGCTTAAAAAAATAGTCTGGTCAATTGCAAACCAAATTTTCAAGATCTTCTAATTCAATATTGAAAAAATAATACTGTAACTTACAAGCAACAGCATCAATGGAATCCAGGAAAATCTCCATGTTCTTCTCACATTGCGCTTCTCCTCGATAGAAAAAGGTTCGCGCACCAATTACACCTTTCCGCCGGTCCAAAAAAGACTGATGAGGCTGATACCTAGGGAGGTCTAAAAAACTAATTTTACAAGGGATATTCCGAAAATATGAATGAACGTCTCACCTGGAGATCCATCAGGATGACGTGATCGAATCCCGCTAAGGAATAATGAACACAATCAAATTACTGATTCCAAAAAAAAACCGACCAGGAAGTAAAACGTTTTTATGATCAAGATCAAGCTGATTACTCGTCCTCGGGAAGAATATTATTGGATCTCAAAGGATTATGCAATCAATGACCTACGACTATAGAAAAACACCAAGTTTTATGACTCAGGAAGTGGACCCGGTCATTTGCCCATGCCCAGTCATGGTATTGATAATCGATAACAAGGCTTTGAAGAAGCCGCGATAGCTAGGGAATGTTTTCGAGAGCATCCGAAATTAACATACGCCAATTCCATCGCTTTTGCTTCTTCCTCACTAAGATCCTCTTCGGCCGAGTAATCCAAGATGGCCTTCACACCAAATGAGTTCATCCTGGCAATAACTGCTTTGACTTCTTCCTGGTCTTCCCCTGCCACGAAATGGCCGTAGAATGAAGCCTTCATTGCTGCTTTGAACAGCTTGTCTCCAAGGACGGCGTTTGTCCATTTCATGATCTGTCACGTGAAAACGAATCTTGTAAGGCTTCTTTTGCTCCGTCGCTAGCGACGAAACAGTCAACACCAAACCAGGAATGATAATAAAAACAATTCGAGAGAAAAAGCTTCGAAAAATACATTTAATTGCTCATTAAAAACATGTACAAGGCAAACATCCACGGGTCACCCGAACACCCTAGGGTCTCCAAGGAACGTATTTTGAGAAAAGCAATTATACAAGGTGGCCCGGAAGAATGTGGACCGTTTTCACAGTCTAAATCCATAATAACAATTCAAGGGCAGATTCAAGGCTAAAATCACTTTTAATTAAATTGTTTCGAAATATTTTTCACTATATTTTTTCATACAAGAGCCATGGTAATTAATAAAACTTGCCGGCAAAAAAAATTTCGAACTTCAAGAATTTGATTATAATACATAAATACAGTATTGAAAAAATTCAAACTTCCCATACTTTGAATAGTTTGAAAAGGTGATTAAAATTTAAAATATATCTGTATTACCATGATTTTTTTTTTCATGAAATTGAAAGCAGCTGGAAACTCTCCATCCAATGCTTGATGTGTTTCCTGTGAAATTTATTGAGTAATGAAATTAAATTTTGGCGTGAAAATTGCAAGCTGCTGAAAAATCTCTATCCAATATTTTGCGAGTTTTTTTGTGATATTTATTTCGTAACTAGATTTCAGTCGAAAATATTCAAGAAGTTCAACCCGATCATCTCGAAAAATATTTTGTGGGGAACTTCTCCACGCAGAACGTCAACGACATGCACCTTGAGCATCCAAGAAAAACATTCGCTTTCAAACTAAAAACAAATCTTTATTCTTGTGGTGTGCGAGGAGAGATTCTACTCCGCATAGCCTTCAATTCAAGGAATGCAGACTGAATTCGTTGAAAAAATAGTTCAATTTTCTGTGTTATTACGCCTTCTCAAGAAAATAATTAATTGGCATTCATCTTTGTTACAATGACTTAAGAAATGCAGACAAAAATTGTGACCAGCATTGGGTGCTGGATAAAATACAGTATTGTACTGTAACGTTATCGTCGATGAGAGGCACGAATCCTTCATCAGACTGTTTATTGCACACTACAGTATTTATATTTAATAATTTGAAACAGAATCTGAATTTTTGGAGGTCACAATAAATTGCGAACTTCGAGGGCGAACGTCCTCATGGTCAGCGACTTTTATTTTCTCAAATGACCATTCCGGCGATACTAATGCAGGGCGGTAAAACTAATCATGATTGAAAAGGTAGATAGACTGAACTATCTTAACTTTCATTTTTTCATCAAGTGGTAGCCTTCACTATTGAGAAACCTATCATCGTCTTAATACAAATATGAGTCTTCCAACACCTTCAGCACACCAGTGCTCAAACAGCTATATTCTGAAGTCTGCCATGCTCAAAAACACCAGAACTCTGAGGGTTACAGAAAAATTTATCACGACGAGTACTTTCGTTTAAGAACGTAAATTCTGCTATGGTTGCGAGTCTGAAAAAAAAGCTTGACTTCGGATTTAGAGCTTGTAAATACTCACACTTTTATTTTTTGCCACGATTGCAGGCACGGCGCAGACAGAAAAAACGAGACAACCTCGCAGGAGTTCAGCATTGGTCTTGCTTCTAAACGCGGCCTGGTGATCCTGAAATTCCAAGTCCACGTTGTCTCTCGCAAGAGTGGCCAAAGGTCTGAGCCAGATCCGCGGGAGCCTTCCCGACTGTCTAAGCACAGTGCTCATTTGCCCGCTTGAGAGCCCGAGCTGAATCACCGCGACACCTTTGACACTCAAAATAGCACAGTGAACCAGCGTCACAGATCACGAAGTTGGCACACAACGCACCCCACCGCAATCATGCATCAACACACTGCGGCACATACCCATTGTCCCCTGATTCCTGATGGCCGAATAGACCTGTCACGAAGGTTAACCTCCTAACACAAATGAATTCCAGAAAAATCTTACCGACAAACCTCCACTATTGACCTCCCGCTGCTTTATTCGCTGCGTGGTTAAATTAGCACCCTTTAATGAGGAACAGCACGCAGACGTTCAGAAAGTTTCATGAACAGCGATTTCGTAAAAACGGTGATGGATATTCTAACTGAGCTGACCAAGTAATCGAGGAAGATCACCACTTCAGGCCAAGGCAAATCATAAAGCACACACACAAAAAAATAAAATCCGGATACACAGCATCAGATCTGAACTCCGTATTACCGATGATGCGTGTGAGGTCATTCCGACGTTCGAATAGGCTTCTCATCCGAAGTGAGGTAAAGAAGTAGGAAGAAGCCAATAATTATTTTTCAAAATCGCAGCTAAACAAGGCAGAAATTCTGTATGATCATGTTGAACACTACGCAATACATATAAAATTTTATATTCATTACGGTATTGTAATGGATGTCTTCGGAGTAGACACAGAAGAAATGGAAAAAAAGGAAGACACTGGTAAAATAAAGGCAGCATTATGAATACCTTTGGAAGAACCTGATGCTTAAGAACACACACGAAAATAAAATAACGATATGCGTCGTAGGATCTAGTATCTGGGATTCTAGAAGTCAACACTGCGTTCGCCAACAGGTACAGAGGATAAAATACTGTGTACATTTGTTCAGTGGATATTCAATCCTTTTATCATCCTGTGCGCTCATATTTTATTTCTTTTAAAATTTCCAATGTAACATTCGATTACTTTTAACGATGCAGATCCAAAATCGCTTGGTTTCCAAAAACAAAGCAAAAAACAAATCTGCGTTTTGACAGCTACTGGTGTTGAGACACTAGTTAATAATCAATCACCTAAGTACTTTTGAACATCAAAAGTCATGAATTCACGAAGATATCATTGGATACAAGTGGTGCATTATTGTGCACAACTTCGTCCGAAATCAATTTTCTCCAAAAATTGACGAACTCATCCAAAAACAATACCAAGGTAAACAAAAACTTGAGAGCTCCCTATACAATATTGGGCACTTGTACACGAGAGGTGAACGAACTTGCGGTAAGAATTGTCAGGAGTCGTTCCATTTTTCGAGAAATTAATTTAATTCTGACGAATATAATTGTCACTTCCGCGATTAATTGGTTCGAACTTGAATAAACTTTGACAACATAAGAAGAAACACTGATTAAACAAAGCAGAAACTAACATTCAAATTTCAAAAGAAGGGAATCCAGATTTCCACTCATTATAGAGCCGCGGTTTTGAACTGACAACCAGGAAGTGCTGTCCAGTTCGTTCCGACAGTCTGGAATGCTTGTTGACTGCACAGCTCGCGGTGAGCTTCTGTCGAATCCCTTCGAAGTCACACCGGGGCTTGATCCCCGCGGTATATTCAGATGCTGCACATATTGTGCCTCTTCTGTACGTGCGTTGCTTACAATTATTCAGCAATTTTTATTAATACGAAATAACATTTCAGTGTCACAGTGGTTCTTCTTCGTCTATATTCGTGCAAGTTAATGACACACTCAAGGAAATAATGGGCGCCAGTTCCGCGAAGATCAATAAGGCAATATGTGCAGGAGTTTGAAATTTTAAAATATGATAAAAGCTAATGATGCTAGACGAAAATCGAGAACCCAGAGATATCCCAGTTGGAGGATATTAAGTACCCTGAATAGACAGTATACAATAATCTGAAGGGGGCAGGATTTTCTCTAGCAGTTAAACATGTCAAAAATAAACCTTGACCACTGAAAACACATACAGAAAATAAAAGAACCTGCTCACAGAAATAAATCACGAGCAATATTAAACAATAAATTGCAAATAAACGTTGAATATACGATCTGGCAAACAAACCCGGTAATGAAGATTGCTGGTTTGAATACAAAATAAAAACGCGATTCTCCGACATTTCAAAATTCAAAACAAATGCAGCAGCAGTCTTGCAAAGCACTCACTGTGATGCCGAGAAGAATACAGTACCATACCTGTATCCAAACAGATTTATGGGAACATCTGTATGCGCAGATTTTACTACATTAAATCACACGCGCACTTTCATCCACGACAGCTAATAGTTCAGCCTCATTCTATATTTCTGAGACCACACTAATCTACGCGTAATACAAAACCCTTCTACTACAATTGCCTCGATAGGTAGAGAGGGCTGAACACCGACGGCAACCATATCAAGCTCTATGAAAATGCATGCATAGTTCACAACGCATCCGGTCAACTGCGTGAGCTGACCAAATTCCAGTCGGAGAGAAATTCGCTCGATTGTGGACATCATCGTTGAAAAACGGTCATGGTGATCGTTGTTCCTTGAGTTGAAACTTTGAGTGCGAATTATTTGTCAAGACGAAATTGAAGGGTGCGGAAATTAGAGTGCAGTATAATAACTGATTTGTTACCTGAACTGCATGTGGTACACGTTGTTCCCGACGCTGCTGGCTGGGAAACCCCACATTTACGTGAAGTATGGCGCCTTGAGATTATGCTCTACGAAAAATGTATTTCTTCGTCCTTTGAAAAGCAGCATCATTTTGGTGACCTCTCGCGGCGGCATTCTTTTCACTCATAAAATGTATTGTGAATGTCTTCGTGTTGTAACGTTTTGATTGCTCTCCGAGTACCGTATCGTAATTGTGAAAACTTCTTTGACGACTTTTTCAGTTTTTGCGTGTACTGTACTGTATATGGTTCTTCAATATGAAGAAGAAAGAGAATGCATCGCAGAAAACAACAAAGGCTTCTCAAGTCAAGGCTGCTCGCCTTCTGTCCAAGAAAGCGAAGAATCGTACAGGATTGAAGAAGTCAAAAGATGTTAAGAAACTTCCCAGTAAGAAAAATGCGCCCAAGGTTTGCAAGCCCCTCGAAGGGAAGTCCAAAGCCCCTAAGATGCGCCTGAAGAGAGGTGAGACGTCATCCTCAAGGCTTGTTACCGAGGATTGAGGTGACTCTCCCATGATCGTTCACTGATTCGCGTTTTAATTCTCAATTTAGTGATGACGAGTGAGGAGAAAAATGCATGGAAGTTGAAAAAGGGAAAGAAATATTGGGACCTGTACAAGGAAGTGCGGAAACAATTCCATGAAGATAAAGAAAAATTGGATCGAATGACGGCGCTTGCTAGCAGAGCTAAAGCTCTATGGGAAATCGTTCGGAGAGAGGATATCAGTGCCGATGAACGCCTGGTAAAATCTAAGGAGTTATATCGTCTGGTAAGGGGACGGATCATGAAGGTAAGTCGGAATCGCTTGGTAGAAATTTGAGAAAAATCATCTGCAAGTATTGAGAATTTCCGAACGATTGGTAATTTTTCCAGATCGTGCAGCTGGATGATTTGTCCCGCGTGTTGGAAAGCTTGATGAAGCATGGCGATATCGAAATTCGTGCAGGATTGTTCGAGGAACTGAAAGATCACATTGTGGAACTTGCGAAATCGAAGTACGGTCACTTCTTCGTTATGAAGGTAAACACGACGACATTTTTTGTCTCACGCACAAATCTGAACTTACGTTTTTATTTCATAGGTCTTGCGATATGGCTCGAGAGATCAGCGAGATCACGTCATTTCTAGTTTTCGTGGAGTCGTTCCTGAACTGATGAACCATAAAATAGCTTGCGAAATCGTTGCGACTGCTTACAATGACTGGGCAAATGCTGCGCAGCGTGGACTGCTTCAACAGGAGTTCTATTCACCGGCGTATATTCAATTCAAAGACACCTCCGTGACATCGCTGGACAAAGCATTGGCTGCAGAAAATGCAGATCGAGAGAAAATACTGGAGTATTTGCGAGAAAAACTTGACCCAATTATTTCGAAGTGAGTGTGGTCAAGGGCTAGATGTTTTTTCAAGATGCATCGACTTTAACTTCATTCCTGATTCATTTTTTTTATTCCTTAAAGAAATTTGGTGCAACATAATCTCATTCAAACTCTTCTGTTGGAGTATCTCACGCATTGCGGAGCAGCCAGCAAAGATGACATGATAAGTATCATGAAAGAGCATTTGGTGCATATGCTGCACACGAAAGAAGGCACCAGGGTAGCGATGCTTTGTATTTGGAACACATCAGCGAAGGTTTGACGTTCACCGTGATCTTATGTTATTTTTACAAATAAATTTAATTTCAAAATGTCTGCATAGGATCGAAAAGTGATTATGAAGAGCTTCAAGACACACGTTGGTCGGATTGCGAAAGAGGAACACGGACATATGGCTCTGATAGCTCTGTTCGATGCTGTTGATGACACAAAATCTGTTGACAAGGTAAATTTGATGATACGTCTAGAATCAGTAAAAAATCCTTGATTTTTAATTACAGGCGATTCTGAGAGAATTGGTGACGAATATTCACGATGTTGCACTGGATGAACATGGACGGAAAGTGATACAATATCTCGTTGCCCCTCGGAGCACGAAGTTTTTCCATCCTGATATCACGAAGATCCTGCAAGAAGGCGATGCAAATTCCTTCAGGTAAGTGACTAAGTCACTCTCGTGGATTCTGCCTATTCTAATAATTTAAATTCCTTTATTCAGTAAAAAGGATCTAGCAGTAAAGCACTTGGAATTGAAAAAGGCTGTTGAATCGGATCTTCTAGCCGAAGTATGCAAAAATGGGAAACGTTTTTGCGCCGAGAACTCCGCAACCATCACTGCACGTGCTGTCCTTTCGGGTTGTAGTTCAGTGCCAGGTTAGAAATAACGAAATGCCGTGTTTAGAAGTAGTCCGGCAATGCCATGGAAAGACTTCCCTTTCACTATGGACTCTTATACCGTTTGTTACGATTTTTTTTATTACAGGTCAAGAAGATTTATTGGATACTCTCTATACGGACCTCACTGAGCTTATCCGTTTGCCGTTTGAGCCGATGCAACTCCCGAAGGTCGAGAAAAAGAAACCGAAAAAACGAAAGTCGGCAGCGGTTGCAGACATGGACTCGGTCCTTCCTGAATTCATGAAAGATAAAAAAGTTGAAGAAGATGATTTGGAAGCAAAGATGCACATAATTGAGCGACCTGCGACTCACTTGCTTCTAAAACAATTACTTGCGGATGATTCCAATCGAGGTAAATTCGCTCGCTCAATTTTACAAGCTGTCGGTGATGAAAACCTAGAGAAGTGGGTCACGTGCAACAGGGGATGCTATTTTCTTCTAATGTGAGTAAATTTCCCACTTCACAATCTGATCGTTGATCCCTTCATGGGATAGTTTTTTCGTCTACTGATCAGTTGAATTCCCTTCGGCTAAAATCTTGGAATAATGCGAGTTGTGGTGATGAGTGGCACATTTTTGCCCTCCAATTTAGGCTCTTGGAGTCAGAAGTTCCGAAAGTCCAGGATGAAGTCAAGAAGCGTCTTCAGAAGTTGAAATCATCTTTGAAGAAGCAAACTAGCCCAGGGGCTAAAATACTGTTGAAGAAATTATAAGTGCCGATGATTTTCTATTGGAATTTTTTCGAATAATGTGTTTATGAACAATCTAGGAACTTTTGCATATCAATCATTTTTTATATCTTTCTTCGACAGATCAGTGATTGAGAACTGCTGAATTTATTATTTTTCGGGAATCGGATTGTGTCGCGATTCACTTCTGGTGACGGACAGATGTCTGACTTGTGCTAGAAGGATAGAACGGCAATACTTCAAACTTCATCAAACGTTAAATTCAGTGAACGTTCTGTTTGTCGATCGATAGGATTGGGGGAAGAAGCCTGCATTAACTGGTATTGAAGCTATTAATTGAATTTTTTTCCCAGTGAACCTTGTGATAAGTCGCCGTGGATTATTCAAGATCAACTTCGGTTTTGAATTATCTCTGGTGTGATTTCCGCTAGAAATTCTTCCCAACTCCGGTAAACTGTGATTGCATGATTTTCTGATACTCGGACAAGTTCGGCAAGATGAAAGTCAAAGAAGTGGATAGAATGGCCAACATAGCATGGTCGCCAGAAAATCATCACCCCATACGCATTGCGTGTGGATCCGCTGCTCAACAAGTTGTTGATTCGACGTTCAACTCTTCCTCTTCTCTGGAAATTTATGACCTCAATCTCGGGGAAGCCGGGCAGGACATGTCCTTGAAGCTCTCGCTTCCGTGTGATTCGCGGTAGATATTTGAAGAAGCCCTTGACTTGGATGAATGTGAAGAAATTTATTTTTCTTACAGGTTCGAGAAATTGATCTGGGGCAAATTTGGGATGAAGGAAGAACATTCTAGTGGGATTTTGGTTGGCGGAACTTCAGATGGTCGTGTTCAAATTTATGATGTCGAAAGATGTTTGGGGAGTCCCAAAAATATACCCAAAGGAGCTGTCAAGGAACATACTCAACATTCTGGTCCCGTGTTCGCCTTGGACTTCAACAATTGTCAGTCGCATCTCCTTGCGTCGGGTTCAGTCCAGTCGGAAGTTTTCATTTGGGACCTAAATTCCCCGAATCAAGTGCCTATGACTCCTGGAGTTAAGGCGCAGCCCTTGGAATCCGTGACTGCTTTAAAATGGAATCCGAAAGTGCAACACATCTTAGCGTCTGCCTTTTCTCCAAGAGCTGTTGTATGGGACTTGAGAAAAAGTGAGCCAATCATCAAGGTGTCAGATGCTGCGTCGAGACTGAAATTAAAATCAATCGCCTGGCATCCTGAGGTGTCCACTCAGTTGTGCATCGCCTCTGAAGACGACATGCATCCCGTAATTCAGTTATGGGACTTGAGATTTGCTTCTTCACCGCTGAACACCATGGACGCACATCAGCGGGGCGTTCTTTCCTTGTCTTGGTGCAAGCAAGATCCAGACCTGATGCTCAGTTGTGGAAGGGACAATAGAATAATTTGCTGGAACCCGAATACCAGTGTTCAAGGAGGAGAAATCGTGTGTGAGCTGAAAGGGTGTCAAGAATGGTGCTTCGATGTTGCGTGGTGTCCCAGGAATCCCGCAGTGGTGGCGGCGTCATCTTTCAGTGGTCACGTCTCCGTCTTTTCGTTGCTCGGATCGCAGACTCAGGTCGAGACTCCGTCGCAAATTGCAGATTCGTTCCCAGACATGGAGCCTATGGGAACATTGACGCCAGTTTCTCCTTCAAGTGCCTCTTTGGACCTGAAAACCCCTCCGCGTTGGCTACGAAGACCAAACGGTGTCAGCTGGGGCGTGAGTAAATCTTGAAATTTTTGTTCAACGAAAACAGATCATAAGATTTCTGATTGCTGTTGTCCTCAGTTTGGTGGAAAGCTTGTGTCCTGGAAAATTCCCGAATCGACGAACCGACGGAGCGTTAGTTCTTCTTCACCTACCGAAGAGGAACCCAAGAGACACATAATTACTGTGACGCAAATTGTTACCGAGCCAGACTTGGTCGCTAAGGCCAAAATTATTTTGGACGCTTTCAAAACTGGTCCATCAGGATCCGCTGCTGTGTGCCGTGAAAAGCTGAGTAATTTGTCATCTGACCAATTCAAAAGCTTGGAAGCTTTTTCTTCTGGTGGTAAGTACATCTTTTTTAGTGATGATTTACTTGCCTTTTTAACGCTTTTTCTTTCTTCTCAAATAGGAAATGAAGTTACAAAGGGTGTTGTTTGGCACCTAGCAGAGGCTCATCTTTCTCCTTCTGCAAGAAATGTGTTTATGAGCTTGCTGGGGGTTGGATCTCAAGAAATGGCCTCCCAGGTACATTTAGTTTCTGTAGTTCACTTACGAGGGTTAGTTCGTACGTTTGGTCAGACATTGGATTCCCTTGATGAACTCTTTGATGGTTTTGGGTGAAATTTCTACAGAGCAAAATAGTATTTCATGAGTGCTGATGAAAATTACACACTTCGCACATCCTGATTGAAACAAAAGGAGGACGGACAAATTAAAAGTACTGTTTTTACACCCTGTCCAAGTGCCAAAAAATACTGTTTCCTCACTCGACAAACTTGATTCCCTCCAAGAAATTATTCTATATATGGAACGCACTTGTCATTTCAAATTAAAAAGTAATGTACTGTCGAAACGTTTGAACCATTCCTTTGATCTTCATTTCTTTCTCAATAAGGTTATAATTTTTTTCATGTAAAAGTTGGCAACGGTGGTTGGAAAGTCTAAGCGCAGCGATGGCGGCGGAGAAAAACTTCTCAATGGCTCAATGGATTCCAGTGATGCGTTCGATCAGTTGACGTTGAACGCCGAAAAACCGAAGTCGTATTCTCTGACTGAAGGAGGTTTGTTTGTTGCCAACAAGCAAATTCCATGAATCTCTGATGCTGATTTAATTTTTTCAAGGTTCTAAAGATTTGTGTCTTGCCTTGGCTGGTGGTCATTTGGATGCCGCAATTCAAATTTCTTTGAATGAGAAACGTTACGGAGAGGCTCTTGTGATCGCCCAAGTGCTCGGCGGTCCAATTGTGCGGGAAACGCAAGAAAAATTCCTCAAAACTGTGTCTGGAGGGGTTGGAAAGCTACTCTCCGCATTAATCGCCGATGATTGGACATCAGTCGTGGAAGAAGCTGACGTGAATTCTTGGCGTCACGTCCTTTGTGCAGTGCTTACTTACGCAAAGCAACAGTCAGATGTTGCTGGTCTTTGTTGTAAGTTACTTATTTCGATTTTTTTGAGCGAAATTTTAAAATTTTTGCGTGATTTTTCGTGCATAGCAAAGCTGGGTTCTAGACTGGAAAAGCAAGGGAAAACAGCGGACGCGCTCGTTTGTCACATGATCGCGAAAGATCTTGAAGGAGTATCAAGAACGCTGGATTCTGTTGGTAGAAAGGCTTTGGGGATAGAAGACGTTCCGAGTCATTTGCAAGCCATGGTTTGTATTCAAAATGATGTTGATAAATGCGGTATATTTATTTAAGGGATTTCTTTTTTAGGATTACCTGGAACTTCTTCTTACACTGAAACAAACAGGAGATTCGACATCGTTTGCTGCATCAAATTCAGTGCTTGTGAAAATTCTAAAAGCTTGCGTAGAGCATTTGTCGTCGCAGGGCGAGCTGGAACTTGCGTTCAACATTATTTCTCATTTTCCTGACATAATAGACGTGAGTTTTTCCTTTTTTGAATTATAGATCGAATTTCTAATACAGTATATATCCGGTGCTTCAGCCGAATTTGGAGGAGTTGAGGCAGAGATTGGCTAGCTTCAGTTCTTCGGCTCAAGTTTCCATGCATAATGTTGTGCAGAGAAGATATTCACAGCCTCAGAACAAACCATTCTCTCGAGGCTCATTTTCACAGCCGTCACCGAGTATTGCTCCACCACCGACGCAGGTTCTCGTTGCATTCATTAGATTTCCTTCCAATTAATCTGAGGCTTATTTTATTTTTCTTCGTAAGTTCATGACTCAGACTCAGCAAGGAATCTTGAACCCTGCACCTGTTCCCATGCAGTCATCACTGCCTCCATCTGGCATGCAACCAAGTTATAAGCCACAAGGATATGACCCACAGGGGTTCGGATCAGGCATGGGGTCGGTACAGAATGCGACGAATCCAGCCAGCATGCCTCCACCTCCAACAACCCCGCTCTCAAAACCTGCCAATCGAGGTTTGTGTGTGTGTGTGGTTTTTTTTTGGGGGGGGGGGGGGTTTACGAATACGAGCTGGGTTCTCCTATAGCAGTAGCGTCCGGGGAATTTTGAGCTGATTTTCTTGCACCAAATTCTGGATTTATGGCACATGGGTTGCAATTGAAGAAATAAAACGAATACTGTAGATTTTCGCCTCGCGATTCCGTTGAGTGAATCCCGTGTTGAGATTCATAAGGCATGAAATAATGGAGCTGCCAGATTCCCTCGGGCAAGCTTTTGAGTGTGCATAAATTTAAATTGCATTGGAAAAGCGTCAAGTAAAGATTCAATGAACGGGGGTTTCACACACAGTGCACTATATAAATAACATGGCTGTTTATCTCATAGCAGATGCGGTAATCTCCCGCAGAAACCTGAAGACATGTACCGGTATGGGTTCATCAGATTTTCCAGTAGACCAGTACAGTACTGTTCTCGTCAGACGTGTGTTCTGGCTGTTCTCCTATTTGGAAAGATTAAATTTCTTACTACGTTGCACATGGTCCGTATTCGATATAATGTTACAAATGTTTCAGACTCTTGAGCTACCCCTGATATTCCCGCGAATTTTTTTAACGCCCTGATCATTGAATATGATCAATGTATGTATATTTCTTTGATTTACCCAGGAGGTCCATTGCAAGCCAGGTACTTGGCTGATCCAAATTTATACAACGCCGGTTATGGAGTTACGCCTGTTCCCGCTCCGACAAGTTCTGTGGGCTACTCGTCTTATCAACAGCAGCCATCTGGAAACTTCTTCATGCCACCTGGTCCCACACCCACGCCTCCACCGAATACTTTCATGCCGGTTAACCCTGCGCCTCCGATGACCCCTGGTGAGCGTTGTGTAGTAATTCTCTGTGGAGTATGATCTTCATATTTTCTTGATGAGGAAATATCTGTAGGGATTGTAGTGAATCTCTCCTTAACGATCTTGTTTAAGACGATTTTTTCTGGATAAAGATTTTTTTTCGTTGCGTAGGATTCTTTTTTCTATGTTATTGAGTGTTTTATACTACCAAATTCTCTCTTCAACGATTTTGTTTGAGATCCTTGGAGTTCTCTGCAACGAGTTCGTTCAAATCCCTTGAATTTTGTTGTAGAGAGAATCCATCTGGTAGAATCTACTACGATTTTCTCTGTACTAAATAACGAACTTGTTTTTTGGTACCATGTGGTTCTCTTCCCGTTTAATTAATAATGGTTCTGTAAAGAATAATTTTGTTCCTGGTCACCTAACGTTAGTGAACAAAGTTCTCTCTACACCTAATTTTTTCTGATCTCCTGAATTTCGTTGTAGAAAAAGTCCAGACAGACATTGATATACTGTTCAATATGCTTTGGTGAAGGTTTAAGCCAACTTAGTTCTGTTAAGTCAGATTTTAAATCTTGGAAACATTCGCCTTAGGGATTGGTTTGAAATATATGTGAGGTACATTTTATCTAGGAATGCCTGGTTCAGGTATGCATCCCCCGCCGATGACTGGACCGCCACCCACTGCACCGCCCCCAGGGTGGAACGACCCGCCGTCTATGTCAAAGCGGTTACACGGTTCCAAATATAAGGTAAAATATCCCCGTCATCATATGTGATTAAATAGCATTTTGACGAGGTAAACGCCTTTTTTGGTTGAAGTTAGTTGAAGGTACCGTCATGAGCGCTGAACATGCAGGTATCAAACTTCTTCTAGGTGGAAGAAAATCTGGCAAGGTGAAGCAATTTCTGCAGTGTGTGCCACCATTGTTATTCCTTAGGTTTAGACTCAACCCTCCATTTTTAATGGTCTGGATGTCTAACTGAGTTCAAGTGGAACTCTGTTGTGATGCGCATGATCTGATTTACGAGTCTGTTCTTTGTATGGAGAGTGAAAAGTTTAGTCACATATTTCCTTTGTCTGCTATTGTATAACGAATGAACAATCCTCTTGATTTATCGTGCTTACGGAGCAATAGTGAATTTGTTGTCTAATCTAACCCAATACACAAGGGTTGGGTCAACAGTTTTGCCGATACCATGAAATAGTTCAATTTGGGAAGTACGCTTTCACATTGCTCGAACACTTCCTTTAGATACTGTTCAGTGTCCGTAAACTTGAATGTAATCGTTTTATCTTGAAAACCCATGAATAAATGCAAGGATTGCATTTTACGATTGCGATGAGTTTCCTATTTGTCAAAGCTTAATCGTCACAGTTTTTCGGAGGAGTTTTCGCATAAATGCCAATATTCGGATTTTTCTGATGGACATTTTTTGGCTTGCCAGTTGACATCTTTGGTCCTTGTTCAGCATCACTAACGCAATGATTGTAAATTTAGAACACTTTCAATGGCACATAGCTGTCAGATCTAGGGCATTATGCCTGAAGGATTTTTCTATTACAGTATTTTCAAGTACAGTATTCGGTGTCTCCGCGAACGTAAAATTGATGAAACTTGCCAATGTGGCGGGTAAGACTCAGTTTTATACAATATTTGTTTAGTCGAATTTGATGGATGATTGAAGGCAGCGCTGAGAAACGCTTGTTTTTACTCTTATTAAAATCATTTTCATGTTGTAAATGTTCTAGTGATGAAAGGTAGTTCGAAATTGGCAAACTTTTGAACCAACCCTCGCATTTGTATGGCAGTAAACTTGAAAGGTACCGGTTTTATTGAAGACTGCTGCGAAGGATGCACCTGCGCCGATCACCCAGCCCGTTCTGGCACCATTGGGTGTGGACCCATATTCACAACCGACAGGAATGCCACCTTCAAGTGGTGGTTTCGGAATGCCGATGCAGGGCATGCCAATGCAACCGCCGCCGCCGGTTATGATGCAACCACATCATATCCCTCGAGCTGGCCCGCCGATGCCGTCACCTGCGCCACAGCCCATGCCTCAGAGGCAACATCCTGGAATGATGCCGATGCAACCGAGCATCCAACCCATGGGTGGTCCACCAATGACCCCTCAGCAACACTCGTTTGTCCCTCAGGGAGTCGGGTCGAGTTTTCAAACCCCTGGTTCCGCATTTGCTCCTCCCGCCATTGACACATCGCAACATCTGTTGGCCGTTTCTCAACCATCTCCAGCTATGTCAGTGCCAGCGCCTGAAGCTCCTGTCATGGAAACTAAACCGAGTTTGATGCCCGAGCACCAGGCGATTTATGGAGTTTTAATCACTCTGATGGAGAAATGCTCATCAGCTGCGTCTCATCCGGTTTGTCTAATCTAGAACTCGTCATCGTTATAAAGATATGTATAAGATGGCTTGTATTTCTATATTTATAGCAAATGAGGAAGAAGTTGGAGGATGTGTCGAAGAAGATCGAGGTTCTGCAAGGGAAATTAGCGAGTAATGCGGTAAGTCTCAGACGATTCTCAATTTTAATTCGTTAAATTGTTATTCCTTGCTAGCTCGGTTGATGATGTTTTGTTGCCGCGTTTGTCCATCTGAACAAGCGCACAGAAGTGCGCTGCTATTTTTGATGTACAATTTTTGTAGAATTTGTGAAGGCTGCGCTAAGTTTTTAAATTTGTTCTTGAAAATCGTGCTTATTTCAGCGTTGAAGAATTCTGTCGAAATCCTGAACGCTTTTTGTTTTGTTTAGTTGAGTGCTTCGACAGTCTCTTCGTTGAAAGCTCTGGTGGATGCCGTGAGTAGCGGGGAATATCCGAAGGCGATGTCGTACCACACGGAGATCGTCACCACTGGTGCCTTTTCTGAGATTTCAGCGTTTATGCCTGGAATTAAGATCTTGATTCAGGTTGCAATGCAACTCGGAATATACGTGAACTAGACATTGAGCCCGTTTTATTCTGCATTGCATGCTTGTGGTTTATTTTTCTTTGCTCGGGAGGTGGGAGATCATGTGTTTGTTTTTTCGGGACTATTTCAGCGTTATTTAAGGTGCGAGTGGGGTTGTGCTGTGGCGAATATTTTTGGGTTTCCGTTTTTCGCCGAACGAAAGGAATAAATCAACGGATTGGATGAAAGGTTTTCCGCATTTTAATCGAAAGCTTGCATGCGGTTGTAGCATTTTGTTCGTGACCATTGGTACCAACGAAATGTTGGCTGTTTTGTTGGGGGTTTTCTGATGCGTTGATTGGGTTTTGCGAAATCGTTATCCAGGACGGGTGCTTTTCTTTTACCCAGTACCAGTTAGATTCAATGTTCTATCTGGATTTGAGTCTCCATTGGGAATTTCTCTACCAATAAAAATTTCAAATAAATATGAGGGTTCTAACAAAAGTTCTTGGAGTAGCAATGAAAATGGCATACAATTGAGCTGAAAAAAATTTATTCTCTAGCCAAAACATATTCTTTGGCACAGAAAAAAAAAATCAGCCTGGTTTGACAATTTTTTTTAATTTTAAGGAAGGGCGCCTCATCTTTTGAGTGGAGAGCAAAACTCTACCAGGGTGAATTTTGCAAAAAATTGTCAAACTGGGCTGATTTTTTTTGTGTGCCAAAGAATATGTTTTGGCTAGAGAATACATTTTTTTCAGCTCAATTGTATGCCATTTTCATACTCCAAGAACTTTTGTTAGAACCCTCGTTCAAATTTACAACAGATGAAGGAGAGTGCCTAACCATCAGTAGGGTTGAGGCTTGAACAAAAGAAGTCGCTGTTCGTAATTTAATGTAGTGCATCCACTTCGAGGAGAGAAGCGAGTTCATAAACTCTTCGCAGCAGAAAGAAAAGTTGGTGTGTTCCAATAATCGTATGTCGCTGCTCCAGCTATATGTCTGTGGTGGAAAATTATGAAGGGATGCATTACTGTTCACTAATTTTTTGGCGATCACTGTTTGTAGTACTGTACTGTACAGTATTTATTCAAGCTATGAATGCACGATCACCCACATTAGCTGAACTGACAGTCAGATACAGGAGGAGTTTAGAAGAATGTATTATGACCTAATACAGTACTGCTAATTGTGAGCAGATATCATTATACTGGCTTGGCGATATCCGTCGTCGGGACGAAGAAAAAAGGGCCAAGCAAAGAGCGACACCTTTAGTATATAATTCAATATGCGAGGTGCAGTGTGCTGGCATCTGGCCATGAGCTGTGCTCGGAACTGAAAGCATCTGATACTTCCCGGACAACAAATCCGTGTTGGAGCGTTATTCGTCCGTGGTAACTCTTTTGTGGTCAGGAGATTAAATTGGTGCAGTCATTAAAAGATAACCCCCCAACTAGGATAGCTCCGGTAAGTTACCTGTAGACAATCTGCAGAATGTGTATTCAGCGGAGCTCTCAATTTTTTCCGAGCTGCAATATTGAAAAATATTTGTACCCTGCCGATGTGCGTGTACCTGTCCCTAAATTTGAGTTGGATTTCCCGGAAGTCCTGAAGTATTGTTTGGTTTTATATTTATGTAGAGCAAGCCGTGGAGGTAATCAACGTGTTGTACATTTTCATTATTTCCCGTGGCAGATTGTGAAAGGGAAGAACTTCCGAAATTCATTAAAGTTATAATTTTACTCGCGGTAGTCGGCTGATTTTGATGAGAATTAACGACCACTGTTGATTACAGCACAAAGAGAATAAGCATCAACTATGACAGTCGTGAAAGTTCATGCCGATCTTGCCGCGATTGTGAGTGGCGATGTCTTTAATCTTCGGCCCCTGCAGTGTGTGATCCATAATTACGGTGGTGTGCATTTTTGTTCGAAGTGTATTACTGCTATGTGAACACAATTTGGTATATAATTATTTTCAGATGGATCCGCTCTTGCTTCAGTTGCGGTTTCTTATCAAAGAAGACGCAGCGAGTGTGTCAGTTGATACGTGGTCCGAATGTTTATCAAAGACGAGTTCGCGGCTGTTGGCGAAGGACGCCAACGAAGATGATGTGAATTTCCTTTGCCAAGCCTTGCATCACTTGCTCACGCCATGTTCAAGTGATCGACTGATGTGTGGGGAAGTTTCGCAACTCTGTCAAGTTTCTGCGATTATTCCTCGAATCTGCGAACTGGTTCCACTTGTGAGTTTGCCGTCTTTGCACTCCGATTATCCCAAAAATCGACTCTCCTCCCGATTATATACTCGGATGGATTCGTTGTTCAATTTTCGACGTGGCTAAGATTCTTGAAGACGATCAAGATTTGAGAATCATTTTTCAACTAAATGTGTTCTGACCATGGCAACTTTTCTGTTAGTTATTAATATGAAGGTCTCCACATGGGATAAATTGTTAAGTGGAAAGTTGGATATGATTTTAGATGCTAAGAATTCTTTTTACTATCGAAACATCGGAAGTATCATTCGTAATAATTTTCTCGCAAATCTTTGCTTGTGAAGTATTACGAAGTTGTCTCAATGATGAATACAGCATGTGTCGTTTGAAAATGAGATTTCGACTCCTGTATCATCCGTATACTTCCAGGAATGTTCAGCGAAATCTGAAAGCTACCTTAGGAGCTAGGACCTTTGTATCGATCGGGAAGCGTATTCCTTTATTTGTTTGTTTAATTAGTTTTCGTGCATTAATTATGGCAGGGTTCATTTCCTGCTGCCGAATGCCTCAGTCTATTGATCGAAGTATTTCCTGGACCTTGCGGCGTGCAAGCAAGCAATATCAGACGAAGCATTCTCAAAGCAGTCGATTGCGAAGGTGTCGATGAAAACTTCCTTTTTGCCTTGTCTGATTGCTGGTCCTTCTTGCCATTTGCTGGAGGAAGTGGAGTGAAAGGAGCGAATCACAAAGAAAACTGGCGACGACAGGCTCTCTGCACTGCAGGGTCTCTGCATGAGACTTTGGATTGCTTGTTCGAACACATTCAAGGAGCTGTAGTACGTTTTTTCAATACTTTTATTTTAAAGCTGCCTTTCCAGGTCTTCTGCCGTGATTTTTCTTGCTGTAAATCGATATCCGATGCTAGGAAATGTGGATAGCTGTGATGGTATTGTATCACCGTAGTTTAAATCGAAGGAAGTTTGAGTACTTAGTTATGCCCTATAAAATGCCTACTATCTAATTGAGTTCTGATGAAGGCTGGGTCTCCGGACTGAACCAGGTCTTGAAAATTTGTTGCTGAACTTTTTTTCCGAAAACAAGCATAAAAAAATCATATTTGATGTAAAGCAAAGTTTAAATACTTCTGTATACCAAGTGGATCTGTTTTTAAAATGTGCCAGTATCCATTGACTGATAGATATTTCAAGAAGCCGGTTGCCTATTTTGAAACATGAAGGGCATATTTAAATGCTGGGGAGTTCAAGGTAATATTTCAGTGTTCATTTAAATTATATTTTATAGTTAAGAGTTGGGTTAGCCAAGTTAATCAGGCGAGTTAGTGTATCAGGTTAATGCAGTAAATTTGTCGAATGAGTGAATTAAATACGTCATGTTAATTAATACTGGTGGAGATTCTCTGCAATGATCCTATATGTAATGATTTTCTCTGTATCACGAAATTTTTGGTGTTTTTTTCCACGTGTTGTAAGGGTTCTCTACACAAACTTTAATTATTTTTTCTGGTATCTTGAATTTCATTAAAGAGAGAGTCTACCTGTATAATCTTTGGATAGTTTTGTAATTAAGGTGCTGATTTCGATTAATTTTTACGTTTCGTTGTATGAATTGCAATTCTTTGAGTGACGTGCTAAATATAATATGAAAAAAAGTTGAGGCAGTTAAAACAAGGAATCACCGATGAAGTATTTCAAAAACTTTTGAATCAAATTGAACAATTTTCTCATTGTAGCCAGGGCCGGTTTTGGAGACGAAGAGCAGGCTGGAACTTCCTAAACTTAAAATCGCCAACCATAATAATCGCATCATTGCGCTTGGACGAAGATTCGCCATGCTTGCCGAATGCATTATTTCTATGCTCTCGTGAGTGTTTCATCCCTTCTATGTGGAAACTTTCGTTGTACTCAACAGCTTATTTCCATTTTATAAAGAATCGATTCGCCATTTGAAGTCGAAATGCCGATTCAACTTGTTCTCCTGGTTATTGAGCGAGCGTTTTCGATTCACGGTGACGAGGTTACGTCAGAAAATCTCAACCAAGTTCGTGGCAAACGGCAACGTAAGATCAGGAAGTCCATATTTGCAGATGTGTTAGGTGGTCATCTTCCGAAGATTTATTATTCTGCTCTCAGGATCTTGCGCGCCGTCATTTTATGGTTAGTGTTTTCTTTCGTCGTTTATCTTCAGGGAATCTGATGAGGAATTTTTCTTAGTTGTGGAGGACTTCCATTGCTTGAGTATTCGCGGGGCATTGGGCAAATTCTGGCCAAAAGCATGGAATGGACTAGTTTTGGTGCGAGGCGACTTGAAGAGGAATCCGCTTGGAAAGCTAGTGTTGAGGAATTAACGTAAGTTCATTTCCAACCTGCCCTGTAAAAACGGCAAAATCTTGGTGGGGGGAATGAATGATGACCATTGAAAAGTAAAGCGTAGGTTGACCCAGTTCCGACTGTTTGATCCTGATGAAAAATATGAATCGTTGGTGTGTTGCAGCCGTACCAGGCTGGAAGCCTATACATGTCTTACTGCTTGGATTCAAGCCGCGAAAAGTGCGAGCTTCACGAGTAAATCCGTTGGTGAGGATGCCCCGTTTGTACGAGTCTATCAGTCAATTTGGAAAGATTTCTCGAAGCCGAACGGATACACGTGCCATCCCGTGGCTCCTTCACCTGGGATTGCGAGTGAAGCGGAGGTGGAGTTATGGGGACTTTCAAGGAAGGAGAAGAAGTTGAGAAAGCGGAAAATGAATTCGGAAGAATTCCAGTCGAATAAAAAGAAACTGAAAGCACGAGTCGACGAATTTGTTTCGTTTCGGACACTGGAACAATCGGATGCCATTGCTTCTGATGCATTCATTTCGGCTACCGGAGCGATTCAGCAGATTCTGAAATTTTGTAGCCCCCATCTGTCCGGGAATCTGTATTCGGTGAGTATTTTTTATCTATATTTCAGCCCAGGGTTTCTTCACTGTCGAATATTCCATTCGCAATTTTTATTTTTTTTCACATCGGGAATGCTAAGTGGAGCAGTCCAAAATAAGCTAGCACCCGATTTTCTTTTATAATTTGTCTTTTGTATCGTGGATCTCGATGATTCCTAGAATTTTTCTCCATCTTCTGATTCCAGGAGCTTGTAGACGACGTTATTCTCCTCGAATCGTATCCAAGTTGTGCAGATCCACAGGGCAAGAGTGTCGTTGGCTTAATGGAAAGAAATTCCAATTGTTACGTCGCAGTTTGCGAAATCTTGCTGAATTTGGCTACATTGACCCCGAATTTAACTCAGAGGCGTCCTTCGTCTTCTCAAGTGATAAGTTTGTTGAGCAAACGCATATCTTGTCCCGATACGGTCGTGAGCAGTTTCTGCGCTTTCGCGCTGAAAATTTGCTCAACTGCGATGATGCGTCCACCTGGGCTATCCTTAGAATGGAAGAAATCACCTTTAGTCACATCGAATACAACTGCCACTAATTCAGAAGTTTGTGTTACGGAACCCGAGATACGAGCAAGTCCGCATCGGGATTTTGATGACGAAGATGAAGTGGTTACTGAATTGGTCGAGAAACCTCGGAAGCGAAAAAGGAATTTTACGCCAACTGTTATAACGTTGGACGACGAAAGCGTTGCTGAAGAAGAACCGGAATCTATTGTTGAAGAGCCGAAGAAAGCAATCAAGTTTAGGAAATCGCAGGAATCACCTGTTCCAGTGAAACCCGCTGAAGTTAGAGTTGAACTTAAGACAAAGTTAGCTTTGCAAGTTCCTGAATCGTCTCGAGCCGTTCTGAAAACCGCGGATCCAACTGGGGATTCGGGAGAGGTAAGCTTTAGAGATTAATTGAATTTTTGTCATGAAAACTTTTCGGAACCAAAACGTTGAATTTGACACTCAAAGCATATTTCATCTGTCGTACCAGGACTACTTTAATGTGCAATACTGTACGTCGAAAATTAAGGGACAAATTTACGGAATTGATGTGATCTCTACTTCATCAGTATTGAGGTAAAAGTGCGGTACAGTGTTTTCATACTTGGGGTTCGTTGAATCAAGGCATAATTCTGTTTGATCGCCTTTTTTTTTAATCACTGAATCCCGGAGTACGAATGGAGATCGGTCTATATAATTTTCCAATATTTTGCTTCTCAGGAACCCGCTGATGATCTTCCGTCAATTTTGGACATGTTGGCGACATTTTCAGCCACTTGAGACGTTGGAGCTGGAAATAAAGCGGATATCTGATGATCTCGAAGCTTTATTATTTGTATCTGTCTATGGTCTCTAGACTTTCTGATAGTTGAGAATTTTAGTGAGGGGAATGCTGTTCATTTGTGCTTTTCATTATTTTAAACTTGATCCGTGAATATTCGAAGCATTGTGTGATGAAGTGAAGCCTGCGATCTCTCGGTCGACTTCTCGTACTATGGATGTACGCGGAGGACGAGCTTCGACGAACGTGAGATTAAATCTTGTACCAAGGGGGGACTGATTTCCGCGCGCAGTCCAATTTTTTTGTGGTTTCTCGCAGATTTAAGAGGAAGGAAAGCAATTATATTATTCGGTCATTCCGAAAAATTATCTAGATGAATCCACGCATTCCGTCTCCATTTGCGCTCACCCGAGTTTGCATTCATGGCCGATAAAAAAATAATAAGGAAACTTACCATTATTGCGTAAATTGAGATCTGATATTTCAAAATGACCACACGTTCTTGGTGCAATTGAGTCCAGAAAAGCGAAAAATTCTCACATATTTCGTTTGTCATCGATTATTAAAAATTTGTCCTGAAGGTTCGAAGTGGAAGTATTGAACCAAGACGAAGTAAAATTGCCAGAATCTGCATTTCAAAGATTCCTTCAGTTCACTGACGAAGAGAGCTGAGATACTTATTCGATTTGTTGAAGAACACAGTGTTGTAAAAGTATGAGGAGAATAATCGAATTTGGATTGAACTTTTCCAACTGCGTGTTGTGCAGTGACTAGCTACCGAACTGCGCTCGGAAGTCAGGCGCCTCCCTCATTCAAAACAGTCCTTCCATCGAACGAAGACTGTAATTATGTAATACGTGATTTTATCAGGATGACATCGATATAGATGAGGACGATTCTCCAGCATCGTTTGTCCGTTCACGTCAGCATTTGACTCGCTCGCAACAGTTCAAAATTGGTTCTTTGAATCAATTGTCCACCAAATTCGAATCTCTGGATTACGACGATGTCGAGAACGCCGTTTTATTGGACGAAGAACGCACTCACGATTACACCAGCATCATCAAACTGAATCTTGCACGATGGCTCGTTGCCTTCGTTATTGGCTTCTTAACGGCTATCGTCGCGTGTTGCATTGATATTGTGATCGAAGAAGTTTCGAAGGTGAAATATGGAATCTTGGAGAAATGTGAGTTTGAGCTGCGAGATTTATATTTTAATGAGAGAATAATTGCAATGGACTCGAGCCGAATTTAGATATGGAAAAATGCATCGACGAGGACTGCTTGATTTATCCGTTGCTGATGTGGGTGGCGTTCAACGTTTTGCTCGTACTTGTGGCCAGTCTTTTGGCAGTGTGGGAGGTGCAGTACTTTTTTATATTTGGTACGATGTTGAACACGCATTACTGCTTTGTTCGGAGTACTAATAGATGAAATTGAAGAAAGATTCATAATATTTCTCTCTTCAACTCGTGAGGAGTTGAATTTCATTATTTAGTATCAAGTTTTCGGATAAATCTAGAGCGAAGAAAAAACCTTGATAATGGTTGCACTGGGATACCTTACTTTACATTACGGTTCTTGGGGCACGGAAATTAAAATGTTATACCGGTACTGTAATACTGTACCATTGTAAATGTAGCCTAGTTTTTTCAATTATTATTTTTTAAGGTTATTTAAAGATCATCAAGGTGTATTTAGCCGTGGAGGAAATCGGATACAGGTTTTCGATTAACTCAAAACCTATTGCGAGATATTGTATTTAAAAAAAGTTGCGTTGTGAAACTCCCAGAATTTTCTGTGTTCATGGAAGGAAAAGATGTTCGCCTGATTTCCTCCTGAATTGGTTTTAGCAACCGAGATCTTTCTATTCCTCAAGTACCCCTGTCTATAAAATCTTGACTTCCGAGCCAGAAGTTCATTCAATTGCAATTTTTACAATCGAAAATAAGTTTTTCGGTGGTAAATTTGTGTTGAACGTTGCAAAATATGGAGATGCCAAGGAAAATAATTCAATAACCATTTTAATGGCAACTGTGAGTGCGTCAAACCTTTTGAATAAATCTTAGCGTAGAAAGTATGACTCTGAATTAATTTTCAGCCGGTGTCTGCTGGCAGCGGAATTCCTCAAGTCAAATGCTATCTGAACGGAGTCAAAATCCCGCGAGTGGTTCGTCTGAAAACATTATTTGCGAAAACAGTCGGAGTAACTTGTTCTGTCGCCGGGGGTCTGGCTGTAGGAAAGGTTCGTATTTCATCAAAGTATGTCCAAATCATTTTTCGATGAGTTGAAAAAAAATTTCTTTCGCCAGGAAGGGCCGATGATACATTCCGGCGCAGTGATAGCCGCTGGGATCTCACAAGGCAAGTCGACGTCGTTGAAGAGGGATTTCCAGATCCTCAAATGCTTTCGACAAGACCGAGAAAAGAGGGATTTTGTGTCCGGTGGTGCTGCTGCAGGAGTGGCGGCTGCTTTCGGTGCTCCTTTGGGTGAGTAAAACCTACGAGGGTTTATGGGACCTGAGTAGACTTCAATTTTTTCTTCTGGTGCGCGGGGGTTTACCAGTTTTGGAATCATCGGAAGAATCTCTGTTAAGAGGGAATTTTTTTCTATTTTTCGACACGTCCGTTTTTTTAAGTTGAAGCACTGAAGTAGAACTAGTGTGATCTCATGTGGATTGAATTTGGGCTTGCAGTCTTTTTGTCGGCAATTTTTTTTTTTTTTTTAAGTTAGTCTTGTTGAACCATTATTATGTCCACCTAAGTGCAACTAGAAAATATTGTCCCTGTCTATGATGGGAATTGCTCGCAAAAAGTTCTCGGAGGCTGTTCCATTAGCTTCAAAGATTTTCTTTTTTTTTTCATGCACTGTACAGTACAATATTATAAATTTTGAATCTGTTTCCGCTGGACGAAAAGGAAAAACTAACAGAAGAGTTGAAATAAGTAAATTTCGATCCGAATGATATTTCTGATTATAGTACAGTACGTATTAAAAATACTTGCATTTGATGACAAATTGAAGTCCCTTTGAAACCCGATCAACCAGTTACCAAAAAACGACCAAGTTTTATTTGCGAGTGAAACATTTTTCCAGGGGGAGTGCTTTTTAGCCTCGAAGAAGCAGCCAGTTTCTGGAACCAGTCCCTGACTTGGCGCATTTTCTTTGGCTCCATAGTGTCGACGTTTACATTGAATTCGATTCTCTCTGCATACCACGGGAAACCAGGTGAGAAAGGGTACTAGAGTTTTCTCGAAAGTCTTCCGAGTCACTCACGACGCAAAAAATAGTAATAATAGTAAAAATACCAGAAGCGAATGACAACTGCGGCATCCTTTCTTCGGAATTTTGTTCTTTTTTGTTGTTGAAGTTTTCGAGATATCCCCAAAAAATCAACAGAAAGAGTTTTCCTGGCCGTTTCTGATGATGTGCTGATGATTGGCCGAAATAATTTTACTGTATATATCAGTTAGAATTTACTCGAGTTGTCCTCATTTTTTTGTGAGTTGCACTGAATGTGTTGTTTTTCATGTAGGCCACTTGGACTACTCCGGCCTGTTGAATTTTGGCAAGTTCTCGATTGTTCCTTACACTTTCCTGGAGACTCCGATTTATGTTGTTATGGGTATATTCGGAGGACTTTTAGGAGCGCTCTACAATCACTTGAACTACAAACTTGCAGTGTTCCGAATGAGGTGAGTTCTGCTGATCAAAATTTTGAAGCGTTGTTGAACTCTAAATTTTTGATGGTCAAAGGCACGTTTATAAGCCGTATTTGCAAGTTTGCGAGGCCATAGTTGTGGCAATGACGACGACTGCGGTTGCATTTGGAATGATCATGAGCCTGAATTTTTGTCAGCCTTTGGAAGGAGCACGGGCTAAGTTTCCAATAAAAGTGAGGCTCCATGTTGAGTGAAATTATGTACAGTACAGTACTGTATATATATTTTTTCCAATTTTTTTTAGATGTTCTGTGGAGAAGAGGAGTATAACGTGGTGGCGACGTTATGGTTCCAAACACCTGAGGCGTCCGTAAGGTCTTTCTTCCATGATCCTCCGCGTAAGTAGGATTTAATCACAATAACTTCACAGAAGAATAGAAGATGAATGCTTCAGCCAGGAAAATATCGTTTCTTTTTCACTTGAAATGTCGGGCAGGTGTCCCCTTAATCATGAACTGGAGCGCTCAAAAATTCCTGGTCTGATTTAAAATATTGACTATACCTGATCTAACGTGATGAAGAATCAAGAGATCAAGACTTACGTTGCAAAGAAATTGAAACTGGTTTCTTGTGAGCAGAAAAAAAGAGATTATTAGAAAGGAAGAATTTACTAATTTTCGGGCAGCTTTAACGATTCCGGAAACCTCAGGGCATCTGCAAAAACTATTTTTCGGCCCTTCCGAGAGTCATTCTGATATGAAAAGCTTGTAATACTGTAATTATTTTATCAAGATATTTTAACCGAATGACGTTTCAGATACACATGCTGTTGTAGCACTGGCAGTGTTTGCATCATTTTATTTCTGCCTGGCATGCTGGACGTACGGTGTAACTGTTCCCAGTGGATTGTTCATTCCTACGTTGCTGACCGGTGCTGCGTGGGGCCGATTGGTCGGTTCTGGGATTGAGGCAGTATTTCCGGATTCCGTTAGTTTTTTATTTATTTATTACTGACTATTTTGATTGTTCTATTTAATATCCATTGGGTTTATCTAGGAATGGGCAGATCCTGGGAAATTCGCGTTGATCGGAGCTGCAGCCATGTTGGGAGGTGTTGTGAGGATGACCATCTCACTCGCTGTGATCATGATAGAGGCTACTGGGAATATTACTTTCGGTTTGCCTCTGATTGTAACCTTGATGGTGTCCAAATGGGTCGGGGATTTGTTCAATGAGGTCAGTTTTTTGGATCGCGAGATGCCTCGATTCTTTTCACGTGAACACCCCACCAATTGCGAACAATATACTGTACAGTATGTATTTTTTGTGGCAGGGTGCATTTCAAAAATAGTTTCATGGTGAATCTAAAAAAAAATAGTATTCAATGGAAAAGGATTGAACTGCCGCTTTCCTCAAATAAAATAATTGAAGGTACACCAAAGTCCTTGAGAAAAAGGCTGTATGGATTAAAAAACGTATGATCACGTGCGTCTTGTTTAATTGTTTTCCATTCGAAATTAATGGACATTAATCTGAAGATTTTGGATGCGTGGATTGCACAACTATATTGAGAAGTATTTTGCACTCATCTACAGAAGCCGTCTTTACCATCATCATTTTTTTTAATCATATCCATCCATTGATATGTTTTTACTGACATGTTCAGTTGTTGAAACCTACTCCAGGATGATGGTTGGATGAGTATTATTTGTGGTTCTTGGCAGTTTATTCTTCTGCACTGTCTATGGAAATAATGAAAAACTTGAGATGTGTTCGCCATTAATGTACACATTTTAGTTGTGTATTTTTGTGTTCGGGTGTTGTGGGAAGCAGAACCGGATTATTTTTGAAAGTTGAAAAGGCTGAAAAGACCATATGATTCGATCTTTTTCAGGGCATTTACGACATCCACATCAGATTGGCAGGAGTGCCGTTGTTACCCTGGCAACCGCCGCCATTATCAAGAAGTACTTTTGCCACCGAAGTGATGAGTCATCCAGTGGTATGCTTCAGAACTGTGGAAAGCGTGAAACGTTTGTATGAGACCCTGAAGGAGGAAACCCACAATGGATTTCCGATCGTTGAGCCAAGGAGAAGAGATAGTGGGATAGGGGTGAGAATCTATTGATTTGCAAAATATTATCACACTTGAAGTGGAAGTTTGTTGATCAATCTGTTTTGTTTTTTTTGCAAGTTTCAATGCTGAGAAGTTCACTAATTGTTCGTTTTCTGTGACTTACTATCTAAAAAGATGCTATTTGTTTTGTTTTTTTTTGAGAGTCTGATAGTCTTGAGCATTTTATTTTCAGAAACCCCCGAACGTACTGTACAGAATTTGCTTTCCCTGGAAATTTTCTAATGTTCGTAACTTTTACAGATGTCACTGACAAGACGTTACAAATGTGGTATAACTCGACTCGACATAATGTCTCCTAGCGCCTTACCGGACGTGATTGAAAATATGGAAAACATGTAATAAAATCCTGCGACACCTGTTTGTTAAGAAGTAAAATTTCGAGAGGTATGAGAGCAAATAAGCTATTCAAAATGATTAAAAAGTCCTTTCGAATATTTTGGCGAAGATTTAATTGAATTAATTTACATTAATCACAGATTTCGTTCGGATGTCGAAGAGTGAGAAAGGATCAAGTGTTTCAGATTGTATAATATCTGTAGCCTTTTTCAAGTCATCTGGTTTGGATCATGATGTTTCTCATAGTACTGGATATGCATTTTTCTTCAGGAAATGATGGTCCAGGAAGGAAAGTTGCGTGGGTTGGTTCTCAGATCGCAAATAATTACTTTGCTGACACTGAAGGCCTTTAACGAAACGGCTTTGCATTGGAAGCAGACTGTGACTGTTCGAGATTTTCAGAATGATTATCCGCGTTACACGTCTATTGATGTGAGTCGACCAATTGGACATTTTTCCGGGGTTGCTTATTCTGTTTCTTCATTTTTATTGACAGGAAGTGAAGCTGGATGACCAGGAGTTGGATTATACAATTGATTTGAGGCCATACATGAACCCTAGTCCGTATTCCGTTTTACACGTGAGTTCCGCGTTGGATTTTATTTAGTTGGTGCGTTTCAAGAGCATAGCATCTTATTTTTAATATTCTTTCTTCAGTCGACGTCTCTGCCAAGACTTTTCCGGCTCTTCCGAGGCCTTGGGCTGAGGCATCTTATGGTCGTCAGTGACAGCAACGAGGTTAGTTTTTTTTTTCTTTCAATTGTCGTTCTTTTTCTGTTTTCTGATCTTTTTTCTTTATCCAAAGGTTGTGGGGATCATCACAAGAAAGGATATCGCAAGATTCAGAACTTGGCATCACGGGATGAAGATGGGGAAAGAAGAGTTGATCATCTCAGATAGACTTTGATATATTTCAATTTTCCACGATTCAAGAATTCGTTGGAACCACACTTCCAAAGTCCAGCAATTTTTCCATTCCATGCGATCTGGCACTCAGTATTGACGGACGCAATTTATATCTGATTGATGCCTTGTTGTTGCTGAACAATTCTATGTTGGAAGAATCCGTGTGGTGTATTTTTTTGGCGTGATTGAAGCAATAAGAAGGGGATTTTGTATATTTTAGTTCTGAATTTCATTTCTTCGTGCAAGGTGTGCTTTCCAGGTTCGAAGTGGAAGAAACACGGTGAGTGACCTCTGGGCTCTGACCAAGAGAAAAATCTGCAGAGGTGCGGTTGCACGCACCAAATCTAAAAGTCTTGGGCTCCCTGGTGGTCTTAATGTGGTGGTTAAATTAGATGACAGTTGGAACCACTGTTAACAGCCGTATCATCTTCGGTACAGTACTTGATCCTGTTTAGAAGCATCCGTACTTACTTTAAGCAAGGATCGATGATCCTGTATTCCTGTACAAAAATCTGTTGAAGTTGGTCGTCAAGTTTGCTGAAACTAAAATATCCAAGAAAATATAAATACAGTACTGCATGCTTTCTAAAAAGCATGTTGACATTTGCATGAACTTCCGCATTGGGGCTATTGAATTTCTTGATGTTATAACTTTCATATATTGAACACATCGTATTATGACAGTTACAAATATATGCCCAATGTCTGGAGTGCATCAAAAACACGAATTATTGGGAACATTTGGATTTTCATTCATGCGAAAAAAATATTTTCCCAACATTATTCAGGAGAAGAAAAATAAAATATGATCGGATCAAATTGCAGCTAATTCCAAATTTTTATGAATTTTTGGGGGAAAACTCTACAGATGAAAAGGTCAGCTTGAACGTCTATATCAACATTTAATTATAATAACAATTATGAACTGATGGATGAACTTGAATACTGCATCAGGTGTCATAAAATTTACTGCATATTAGAAACTACCTATTCTCCTTGATGCAATTTATACCCATCACATTCAATTTTATGATCAAATGTTTCTTCCATTTTACTGCCGTGATACAATACACTCTGAATGAGGATAGAAGAAATTGTGTGATGTATTACATCAAATTGTTGTTGAAAAAGGCTTTATATCTGATGACTGATATTTTCTAAATTTTGTACGAACAGACACTTTCATAATCCCTCGCAAACCTGCGGATGCACATGGGGATTGATGCATTTGCTGTGCGCAATACAGTACAATACTGTACTGTACGCCTGTCCGAGCTTTACCTGCGACTACCATTAGTGACATCTACCCTTATTGTACTAATACACGTACATGCAGAACGGCCACCGTCTTTCACAGTAGCCCATGACTTTTGTCAGAAATGTGACAGAAAGCGAGGTTTTTCCCGAAGAATGCTGGTTGATCATTCTGGATCGGAAACTGTCTCAGTCGCTTGTGATTCGGGTTAGGATGTGAAAAAACTGGATAATGGTAATGTGCTCAGATTCCTAGAATCTGAATGGCGGTGGAGTATCATGTCCCAATCTTCTGTGAGGGTCAACGCTCCTTCGTCTCATTTTATGATGCCTCGCGATTAATCGTAATGTGCGAGTATGTTGTTTTGCGAAGTATAACTTTTCTGCAATGCCGCCATCACTAGTATGTTTAGTGCTGTGCGTGATTTTAAATTGGTGCCCCGCCGTGATTCAAAGGTTGAAGAGGCAACAAGTGCTACAATTACCACACTAGTACAACTGAATTTGCGTGATCCACAGAAGTGTGGCTGCTCAAGCCACGTGACGAGTTCAGTGATCCAGCGTGTGCGTAAAGGTACTTCATTTGGGCCTTACGAAAGAATTACCGAACAGATTCCTCGAAGGCGAATTCGCGAACTACGAGCATAACCTAAATACCAACCAATATATATGGTGGTTTTGCGCTGAAAGTTGATCGCTAATCGGATTTTCATGGCGCCATCTGCCTTCTCAAGATTCCTATGTTTTGTGTGTACCATATATGAATTATTAGTGATGCTCGATGATCCCTTCTCTGTTCATTTCTTTTGGACTGCAGTAAGTACTGTTCAGTATTAGTATTTCATTGAGTCTATTAGGCTTATCATGTAGCATGATAAGTGTGTAGATGAAATATCAAGTTAAACTATGATATTCCTGGTATGATTTTCGTTACTGGATATTGTATAGAGCTTGTTTTTCGAAAGATCAATTGCTGTTTTATGGTTGTGTGGATAGACATAAATCATCAAGTATCAGTATTACGAAGACGAATAAAGTGTTCTGTTTGTTCATTCATTCATTCACGAAGACGACTATGAGAGTCACTCTCAGTGAAACTGTCGCCGCGATTTCAAGGCCTTGATTTTAAATTTTTCATTCCTACTGAAATTTATCTGTTCGTGCCGTGTGAAATTGTTTCGTAGAAGTGATGACCGTGACGCTTGTTTCTTGATTAATCCAGATTTGTGACAATGTCGCTGAATTTTCTAACGATGTAGCAGTGAATCTTCGGTGCCGTTTCTTGTCTAAATTCTTGTGGGTGTTCCCTCTTTTTCTTCACTTCGAGTTTCTTCGTTTCGAGTCCTGCCGCGGCCTCTGACGGCCTGCGCTGGATCGCCACACAATCTGTCTTCTGAACAAAAATGTCCTAGTTGTGAGCCGTTCCGCCGCTCAAGATCTGAAACGAACATCATGAGGATGGAGCGGTGTGACCTGCCTCCGCAGAGTCTCAGTCTTGCTCAAGCTCTCGATAAGCTCTCTTTATTCTACAAACCCGCCACGAGAACGTTGGAATCACGACCCCATGCTGATGTTTTTGCAGACGACGGATCCCCGCATATCTGTGATAAAGGTACAGTATACATAAAAACATATTCGTTTGGAATGAATAGGATTCGAAAGCTGAAGAAAACTCGGAATGTATTATTAATCGCGAAAAATTCATTCCTTTGCATCCTGTTTTCGAATGGATGAGCTAAAGTAATGGTAATTTCTCATCTTGAGTGAATGTCAGGAGAGGCGCAGCCTGAAAACAATGACCCATTGTTCCATGGGATCACATTTTTGTCTTGTTCGTGGCTTTACCGTATACCGTATCGCGAAAAATCAGTCAAAGAAAAGTTACGGGGGCGAACACAGTGCTAATCACAGTTCTGCATGGTTTTAGTCGAAAAAATGAACCCACTGTATCCCACGCCATTTGCGAATGATTCCTGATTTACATAAGTTCTGAAAATTCACTCCCAAGACTCTGCCGTGTTTGAGAAAATAAACGTCAAGTTTCAAAGAGACCATTCGTGTAATACCAATCATTTGGTCTTAGAGGAATTTCTAAGAGATTGCTCCTCTTTATTCACCTTCAAGAATGATCAAATGTCTTTGCTCTTTTTGGTCGCTATTTGTGTGCAGTTGTGCATCCATTCGCGAATTTGTGTTTTCGACATGTCTTGGGAATCTTAAAGCTCTTGCATTTTATTTGAGAAGAACCGGATTATTCCTCGCAGAAAATTTTCGTTCGACTCCTTCAGAAAATTCTGAAGTTGAAGTGGTATGCTGACGGTTGGAAATACTGGGGGAAAAATCAGGGCTAGTGTCGTGTGTAGAGCTTCTGACCCGTTAAGCAAGCTTTTTTGTCTGTGGATTTGATTAATACTGTAATCTACGATTGTTTGTTTAGATGTGTGATGAAATGTTTCTTGCTCATGTTTTTTTCAGCCGATGGAGATAGTGGATATTTTGTGGAAAGCCCGAGAAGCACGCTTGAGAAAGATGCCGTGTTCTCGGTGTGCACGGACGCGAGCTCTTTCAGTAGTTTATGCAGCGACGACGACGTCGGCGCTAGGGATTCGGATGGGGATTTAGAGAACGACGAAGAGACGAATGGCCCTGTTCAGACATCCTCGGTTCCAGAGCGGAAGACTGGGAAAAGGCGTGGAATTTCCCACATTTTTGGCCTGTTCTCGTCTCTGACGGTGAAAAAAACGGCGTCCGTATCCTCGCTGTCGAGTGCGGGTCAGGCCGGAGCTGGAACGCTGATTTTGGAATCCCGACCTGCGCACTTACCCGCTAAGTCGCATCACGAGCAAGCGCGACACGTTGTCCTGTACCGGCAGATGCTCGACGCTGCGAAACGAAAAGGTACGCCCAAGCAATCCTTGCGTGCGATTACGTGACAAAGAGGATGAATAAATTATTTGTTCTCTCTTTCTGTCGCTTCGTTGCTCTGCGTAAATAACTCTGTGTTTCATTTGCTGACACGCGAGTGCATTATTCATTTAATTTTGTTTACGTCTTCGCGTTTAAATTGTGAATAATGGACCCCAGTGTTCCTTCCAGTTTATTTTCCTGGAAACAAGACTCTTCTTTTTGATGAACGCATAGATCACCCTGAATTATTATTATTGGGAATTATTATTCTGCCAAATCGCCGAGTAAATCTAATTTCGGAGCCATTTAGCTGTGTTTGTTTAATCACCATTGTTATTTTAAAACGGAAATTTTCATCTAAAAAAATGTTCAAGTTCAAGATGATCAACTGAGTTGTAATTTTACCTTTTATTTAAAATTGACAGTGAGAACTATCGGAAGGATATCGATGCATGGAAGTCGGTCATTGGAACTTTTTTGTTGTTGTAGTTCATTTACTTTTTTCTTGATAATTTTATTTTCTTGACAATATCCAAATTGAAAAAATAAATTTTTAAGTACGAGAGCTGCTCAATGCAATTTCTTCGCTGACTTTATCGTCGAAGGTGTGGATGGAAAAGAACCACGTGCCGCGAAAGAGTTCTGTGCCTTAACTTGGGTTAATTTATTTTTTCGTCTTCCCAGAATCTCTCGAGAGCCGCAAGAAAGAGAAAGAAACTAAAGATCTTTTGAAGCAAGAGGAAGCGATTACCAGAGCGGCGCAGTTCTGGTCGTCTCAGGTTCTCACCGATTGGGAAAGCATGTAAGTTACGGTTATTCTGGTGTGCATTGAGTTTCAATGATCGTGTTCCTTCTGCTTCTCAGGAAGTACCACAAACAAACGAAGGAGATGTTTGCCAAAGGAATTCCACCCAGCGTGCGCGGGCAGGTTTGGAAGAAAGCTATTGGGAACGGCTTGGGAATATCCTCGTCTTATTGTGCTGACGCACTCAAACGGTTCGCTGTTTTTTCCTTGTAAAAATTTTTGTGACTTTTTACTTCAGCGTCAACTTATATTTTCCCTGCAGTGCGACAGAACAAATAGCGAGGAAAGACAAAATTAACTTCGAGGATGAAGTTGATTCGATCGTATTGGACATTTCTCGAACGTTTCCAAACCTTGGATTTTTCCAAATGGTAAGCTTTTTTCTTGTGGACAGAGACGTGCGACACCAATTATGAAAATGTGCAAGAATTATTTTTAATTTTGGTCAAAAATTTCGTAGGGCGGTCCGTATCACGCGACTTTGCACATTCTACTAACGGCCTATGCAACGGAAAATCCGGAGACGGGTTATGTGCAGGGAATGAGTTTCCTTGGAGCAGTTCTGCTTTTGCAAATGGACCTCGAAGACGCATACGTTGCATTTAGTAATTTGATGTCTCGTCCTCTGTTCTCTGCGCTATATTCGATGCATCAGCCGACGGTGAGTGGAATGAAATTGATTTCCAGTGTCAACTTCGTTGTTGGACGCTCAAATTTTGGTCTGTCGAGTGATCCGGATTATAGAGACTTTCTACAAGGTAGGAGAAATATAGGTCATTTATCCTTCCTGTTTATCAATTGAAAAATCCGCCGTATTCATTCGTTCATGAAACTCCGTAAGATTTTGCCCTCTAAACAATTACACCTAGTTTATCTTTTGCCCCAAAGTCGGACGTGAAGTGCTGGCCAGTTCATGGGGTTCGTTCCGAGAATTCGCTCTAATTTAAATCTAACGTCTTCAAGTCGGAACTTCAAGGGACCAGAAAATACATTGGAGTTTGGGAGGATCGTAGTTGGGGGAAAAACTCTTTTGTTGTAAGAAAGAAATAATTACAGGAAATTGTAATTGATGATATGTGTGGGTTTAAATTGCTTCGTAGATGAGTATACAGGATACTGAAGTTTGAGGCAAGGGTTCATTTGCCGTAGTAGTCTTTCATTTTCTTTTTAAACTCATCGAGATGCATTTTTCTTGCTCTTCTCTTTCTTGTGTAAAAAAAAGCAGGCAAGAGGCCTCCGAAAAATTGAAGTTATGGAGGTTTGAATGGAAAGCATTTTAGTTCGGGAGGTTTTTAGTACTGTATTTTGTTGGAAGCACTCATACAGGGACTTCAAACAAATTCGACATAGGGTGGTATTCGACTTACGGAAGTTCGAGTTATCAAGGTTCAACTGTATTAGGATGTAAGGCGAATCTTGACGAAATATTTTAGATGCTACTGTGAAAGGGGACAACTGTACACATTTCTCCCGTGAATATTTTTCAAAATAAGGTAAAAACGGGATATGTAGAGCAAACAATAATGCTTTTTAAATGTGGGATTTTTTACTGCACATTCGTTTCCACAGTGTAAACTAGAGTTCTCGGCATATCATAAAATACCAAAGTGAGAATGCGTCGAAAAGCAGGTTATTTTTAAATCGATGGCGTCTTCTATTCGTGTGAAATTGATGAAATCGCATCGAATGACCTGAAAATGGAGCTGTTTTCTGTTTTTGTACGGTTTGATTTTTGTTTTCATTTAATTCTCTTTTGTAGATGGAAGCGTATTTCTCCGCCTTCGAGAGCGTCCTGGAGAATAACCTGCCTGTTTTGAGTGCTCACTTCCGAGCTCTGGACCTGAAGCCGTGCTTGTATTTGCTCGACTGGCTATATACATTGTTTTCGCGACCGTTGCCGCTGGATGTTGCGTGCAGGATCTGGGATGTGTACTTTTCCAAGGTGTGCACGTCAGACGACGATGAATTCTTGTTTGCAGTTGCTGTTGGATTGTTGCGGTTTCATCAAAGACGACTCCTGGAGATGGATTTCATTCAGAACGCACAGTTTTTAACGCGGAATATGCAGGCGTCCGGCGCAGAGACAGACGCCGATCACTTGCTCAAACTTGTTGGCGGTATTGTGCTAGTGGGTCACGCCCAGCCGGGGCGCAACTTTGGTCATCTAGTTGCCAAGAAGCCATTTGCCGTTCTTGTACAAGATAATCTTGCGTCCAGAAAGTGAAATTTTCCACTCAGGTGTGATCCCCTGGGATAATGACCGGTGGAGCCGCTACGCAATAACTTCCTAAGCATCCGAAAATCAATAATCTTCTCAGGAACCTTTAATCCATTTATTTTACTGCGCTTTCATTGTGCAGCACTGTAGCGGATCATTTAGTCAGTGCTTGTTCTTGATTTTTAAGCCAACGTTGAAAACTGTAAGGCCTTACGATTTGTTGCAAGTTGTTTTTTATGTAGCTTAATTTGATTATGTGTCGTTGACGTTGCTCGTTGCATCTGATCGATCTGGAAACAAAAGAAAAATGTATCTTCTCATTTTCGGAATTTCCTGTGTTGTTTTGCGGGACCTAAATGTTTATCGTTTTGGGAGCATTCATGTGCATTCAATTAATTTAGAGATCCTGAGCAATGTCGGAGTTCATGGCAATATCAATGGAGCAGGAATTCTCTCTGTTAGCGTATATTTGCTTTTTTATTGCAATTGCGGAATGGATTCTGGCAATAATATTTTTTGTCGGACAACGGGACGAGCTTGAAGTGATGTTTGATTCGCGAAAAAAATGTTTATTTCTGCTTTGAAAAAGGACAAATCTGATACTTTTGCCAAGTTAATTGAAGATACCTTTTTGGATCGGTCGATTCTTTGTTTATTGGAACATGCGGAATTTTTATCACTTGGGAATTGGATTACAGGATGGGAGATCAGTTTGTATTTTACTGTTTTTTCGGTTCAGGAAAAGAATTCATAATTTTTTACCGTGGGAATGTTTCTTCTTGTCAAAGAATTTCATCGTTTAAAATTCATCCAGTGCTGAATCCGATTGTTTCAATTTTTCCAGAGATCTGACAGCACGTCCACAAAATTTTTTTTGTGGCGTGTGACGAACCCGGGTTGCTAGAGTGATGAAAAGAAGCAGCTGTTTGGCAATGATTGTATTCTGATATGTTCTCAATGAGTGAACGGAGCGCGTAGCTTTTTGGTTCCACTTCACATTGCATAAGTCTTATGCGACCGGATGCTGGGAAAATGAGGTACGTAAAAATGGAATGTACAGTACTGTACTTTCAAATTGGGGATGATGCAAACACTTCCATGAAAACGAGGTAAACGAATAAACATACTGTTCTGTAATTTTTGTGCGATAAGCTGAGATGGATTTTCAGTGTGGTTATTGGATAATAGTTTCTATTTTATTTATCTAAAAACTCAACTGCATGGTTTTTTTAACTTGCAGCAGGTTAAGTTTGGAGTCTCCGAAAAAAGAATAACATTTTCTCGAATTTATTTTAGTATAATTTAATGTCTTCCGGTGATCTTTATATAATTATAATTTCGTATAATTCGTAAGACTGTAAGTGATGGGGTGGAGCCAAATTTTCGGCAATTGACGTTGAAGTCAGGTCGCTAAGTTTCTTTTGTTTGAAGCCAGAAGTTTGTTGAAAGAATTTTTTTTGGTAGTGAGCAGAGCATCGCTTCAGCTCGTGCCAGCGTCATGGTGTATGACGACGTGCTTCGGAAATGGATTCCAAGTGGATCTTCTTCGGGGCTTTCAAAAGTGCATATTTACCAGCATATGGCAAATTTCACGTTCCGTGTCGTTGGTCGGAAATTACAAGATCATGAGGTGAGGGATCTTTTATCGTGCTAAAATAAATTCAATCGTCACGTATGATTATTGACTCGATCAGACAGAGCTTATTTCAACTGATACGAGCATGGAGAGATTTGATGGGTGCTTGGAAATTTGAGCGTATGTTGAAGCGCATTTCAGGTGAGTTCGGATTTAAAAAAAAAAGGTGAACAGCGCCAGAAGAAGAAAGAACAATTTTGATCGATCTGTGCTAAAATCCTGATCATTCTTCGGAATTATATTTGGAAAGAAGGCGTAAAAAGCATCGACCATGTTATGGCCTAATATTACCGAAGTTCATTTGAAGAATTTTTTACACATGTGCAAATATTGTATAACATCATCTGACACTGACAAATTGTCCTGTGGTCTTGATACCTTCGAAACTTCATTTTTCTGTCGCTGTATTCAGCGTACGTTTTCCTGGGACACGCTCAAATGAAATTTTAGAATCTTGAGAGTACGCGACAAATATACTGTAGCTGCGGAATATCGTTGATTCCATGCCTCAAAAAATGATGTGGAAAAATTGTTCGCACTGGTCGATTTTTGCCTAATGAGTTTCTTCCCTTCTGATTTGTTTCTTTTATAAAGGTGGTGATAAACTGTTCTGTGCTCAAGACGCTGAAATATAACCAGGCTACGCCGACGTTTCATCAATGGCGAGACAGCAAGCAATCTGTCTACGGATTAAATTTCAGCTCCAAAGAAGACGCGGATAACTTCGCGGCGGCGATGCAACACGCAATCCAAGTACTCAACAGCCCGCCGCCGCAAGTGGGACCCGGGGCGCCGCTTCCGCCTACTCCTAGTTCCAGCTCTTCGAGTCTAAGCAATTCACAGCTGTACGGGGTTCTGCAGCCTCCGACTCCACCAGTACAGCCTATTTACCAGTCCGTTCAGGGGATGAATGGTGATTGGGAAGACCCGTACATGAGGTAAAGTACAATAATTGAATTCGAAATAAAATACTGTATGTGGTTCTCTCTTGATTTATGCATATTACTTTATTGGCTCTTGTTATTCTCCACGAGCCCTGAACATACCTTTTTCAGGCGTCAGTGGAAGTTGTATGGCATATATTCACGTTTTCTTGTTACAGATACAGCGTAAATAGCAGCATTTTGTATAAATTGAAATGCATGTACAATATTTCAATTAATCCTTTTGAGGGCCCGTTACAAATGTCGACAATTATTGTTCCAAGACTTAGTTGAAGTTACCGTCTGAATGGTTCGCTATTCTCAATCTCAATTTTAGTTTTACCCGCCGTGCATTCATTTCTCTGCAAAATTTACGAGATCGGAAATGAAGTTGAATAAATGTAGATTCTGAAATGGAAAAATTAGCTGCATACGATGTCTTTCATGTCGAACGTTAAAATCTACGATTTTCTGGGAAATTCGATGCATTTAATTAATGTAGAGAAATTCCCTGTCAAGGATAAATTTAGTGATGAAATGGAAGTGATTGATCAGATTCATGCATCGGTGCGTGTTCAAGGTTGACGTAAAATCGAGCGTGTCAAGAAAAATTTCATGAACAAAAGAAGTACAGTAATTGAGGACAATGCAAGCATAAAATAGTGCCAAATAAGTATTCGCGATTGCTGAAAAGGCCCCAAAAATCGTATTGCATTTCTTCTCATCCTTTTGTATGTGAGTATCCCATCTTCAGGTTACTGACGTACTGAAATTGCTTACGGTAGTAATCTGATCCAAGATAAATGATATGCGAAAGTGCTGTTCAGTACTCTTCCGTTTTTATTTTTTGCTGTTCTGAGACGCGGTCGTTAAGTGATAATCCTCCCGGGTAGAGCTTGTCATGACCGTAAAATGCAAGTAAATTACTGTAGTATTCAGGCTTTTGATGAGACAGTCAGTCAGGATTTTGCTCTTCTTGAGGCACTGTTGGGTTATTGAAGATTGAACTCTTTGAACAGTGTCGTAAGTTATCATTACTATTTTAGGAGTGGTCAAGACACGGAGGTGCAGGATCCAAGAGCTTCACAAACAGGTGAACACAGGCCATAATTTTCTTTTTGATCTCCTTCTTACGTAATTAATCGTTATTTTAAGTGATGAATCACGGACACATGGTCCACAACGCAAGTATGCCCATGTTGATGAACGCACCGCCCCCGCCAATGCCTCCACCGGGCGGTCATCATAGAACTTCTTCGGCGCCGCCTGGACAAGGACCAGGTGCACCGGTACCGCCACCTCCTCCTCCGCCGCCTCTTCCTGTCCCTGGACACCAGAACTCTCAAGTGAGTAAATGAATCGTAGCCTGTTGATTTCTTAAAAAAGGAAGGCAGTACGATTACGTTGTCTCGACACAGTCCATCCACAATTCTATTTATCCCGGGAGTCTTCCACAAAGAAAAACTTTTCTGTACAGTTTTATGAGAAGAAGGAAACGTTTTAAAACTGAATTCAAGTAGTGTACGTTTTGTGAGCTATCGCATCAGGTTCTGCATAGGGCAGTCATAAATTTACGTCCGGAGTGTTTTTTTAAAGCTTTTTTCTATATTTTTGTTATGTGAGTTTATGATGATCACTTGTATAGATGGTCTATGGAGTTAATGTGCCACCACCACCACCGCTTCCTCTACCGAACCAAGCCATCGCAAATGGGTATTTGCCACCAACTTCCTCGGGTCCTGTGATGCAGCCATCACCATCCAATGGCCCTGCACCACCTCCTCCACCACCCCCGCTTCCGGCTGCCACTGGCCGTAGCGCCAATGACGCTTTACCTGGCTCTCTGGCTGCAGCCCTGCAAAATGCCAAGCTCAAAAAACGGCAGGTTAGTTGAAAATCTTATTTTGTCAGTGCAAGTACTGTAGGAAGGACATTTTAGAAAATACCTGTATTTACGCGAGTACCGCGTGCCCTCAAGCAAGACACACACCCCAATTTTCCATACTATCATTATGATTAAACCCCTTCCCTGATTGAGACGTGCAGTCTATTTTTAATGACTGAAAAACTACAATATTGAAAAATAACGACACCAGAATTCAAATTTTAACATTTATTTAATTCATTTTCAATGGTTCTGATTTTTACGAAGTCCCTTAAAACAAATTCCCTTGTATCCAAGTGTGACGCGTACCTGAACTAAAAAGCTTTTTGAAAATTTTATTCCCGTCTATACGCACCTTTTTTCCCCCTCCCAATTTTGTGAAAAGCGGTGCGCAAGTTACTCGAGCGAACACGGTAAATGTCAATGTAAAGAGACATTCTTTTGATCATTTCGATGCCACATGTAATTTTTAAATGAAAGTATCATGGCTTGTTAGAAAAAATTTGCAAATTTCATTCGATTCAGCAATCCGTGGAATCTATGCAGTCTGTGAGCAGCAGCAGCAGTAATACCAATAGTGGAACTTACGCGACGCTTGGACGGGCTAGCGGAGCACAAGCAGCTGCATCAGCCAATGCAGCTGGTCCTGGATTGGCAGACATGATGGATGAAATGACAAAAACACTGGCTAGACGACGTGCGGCTGCCGAAAGGAAAGAAGTTCGAGATGTGAGTGTCTGAGTACAGTTCAGTACTTCGGTGATTTTTTGACGATTGAATTTGATCTGCGGTTTTAACCCCGGTGTTTGTGAAAAAAGAAAGGCGACGTCGTTTCATCGGTTGGAAAATTATAATTACTTTTTTAGAATGAATTCCGTTCGTATTCTCCGCTTTTATGTTCGCGTTATTTTGTGGGACTGTGTAATACTTTGTTGGCACATTTGATCTACACTTGTTTCTCACATCTACAGAAAGAGAAAACCGTTCGTTCAATTCTAATTGATACATTTTTATAGACCCAAGTATCTGTTTCTGTACTTGTGTAAAAATTTTGCCTCGCGCAAACCAGGGAAAAACTGAATACTTCAGTATCCTAATTGCTTCGGATGTTGTTTGAAATAGATCGTGAAATTACTCAATTCAAAGATGGTGGTGTTTATAAGTTCATTAATAACTTATAACTTCAATCCAGAAAATTTTCCGAATTTAACAAAATTGAAAAAAAAATCTCTCAATAATTCCTTTCAGATTAGCTCTTATTTTGTTGAGATCTGGGGATGGGTCTTGTTAAGTCGTGCAGATCGATGCCTGTGAGTTTTCTGGCATTGTGTCAATTCTACCCGTTAGAAAGCAACGGCTAGCCCAAAAAAATCTCGAGAGTCAGTACCCTTTCGAAAGAAGAGCCTCCAAAGCTTTGAAAAAACCAGTAGAACGCAAATATGGGCTGATGATCAGATGCCCGTCTGGATAATCGGCTGAATCGAGTGCTGTTCAAAAAACATTTTTTTATGTGTCACATTTTTGGAATGACGGGAATTCTTATTACTGAAATTTTCGCGATTCTTGAACACACTTAGCTCAGATAATTGGCTAACTGGGGGGAGAATATATCAATTGTAGTTGAATTCGTGGGGTATCCTGACCGCTTTCGTTCATCTCAATTAATATCAATTCGATTTCGATTAATTGAAGTTCCAACGTAGTCAGTAATTTTATCATGTGTAAAGGGCGTTAAGAAAGGAACTTGATTTTAAATCTCGTATGTTTCGGTAACCCTTCGCTTGTGTTCTTCCACTTCAAAACTCGTAGGACAGTGACGAAGGACAGAAGCCGCGTGACAAAACTAGCCCAGGGTCGGGTTCGTTGAACGGACGTAACGAAGAGCGATATGGCAAGCTTCCAGGAACTAGTGCGGGGCAACTGGGGCTCGGGAGTGGGGCACTAGTCAACGGCGAATCGCCAAAATCCTTGAGACGAAGAACCAGTTCTACCTCGGACAACGGAGGGCCGAAGCTCAACGGCGGCGATTCGTTGGATGCCACGATCAGCACCTTGAAACAGGAGGTACTTCGTGAGTTGCGAGCAGAAATGAGTCAGCTGAGGTCCGATCTTTTGGACGAAATGCATCAGATCAAGCAGGAAATTATCGAAGGTGAGCTCCTACGGATACGCGTGATTCATACGAAGTTGACAAAAAGAAAATAGGTGGACTCTCTTTCTCTGCAACGACTTTCAAGGGACCAGAAAAAAATCGTAACTTGGGATAGAACCCTATGGGACCAAAAGAAAATCATTCTAAAGAGAAAATCGGAGAAACGATCATTGAGAGTCCACCTGTTACAGTATCATGTGAGAGGTTTGAGCTGAGAGATTCTTATTGTTCAGAAATGTCGTTGAAGAATGTCGGTTTTTAAAATTTTTTCCCTCGAGATTGCGAGGAAACACGATTCCGATGACGGCAGAATTCAGCGTTTTCCACCCATTTCAGAACGGCATATGTAAGAAAATACTGTAATGGTGGATTTCTTTCGTTTCCTGTGATATTTTCCGAACAGACCAATCAATGTTAGTATCACGAATATCAACTTCAGATAGAGGACGCATGATAAATTTCCGTGAATTTGTAGTTTTCAAACTCCCGTGCATTTTCAAACTCGGGCAACTAAAAATACAATTCAACATCTTTCGACCTGTAATGAATTCACCTTCATTAAAAATTAAACATTTTTTCCAGCGCAACATCTTCCTTTCATAGCTGAAAGAACGTAACTATTTTTGAAAAAATGGTACCGTTTTTCCCCACGCACCAGTTTTAAAAGTTCAGAAAATATCACTACTTAAAATTAGTAAATTTTTCGTGTGGCAGACCCCGGCTTTTTGAAATAGGAAGTGGACGAATTGCGTGATTGGTCTCATCAGAGAGCCCCTTTCACTCATGAAGAACTGTAAGTGTAATTAAACCCTCGCATTGCGTGAATCCGCTGCAGACTTCGGTAGGCGACGAAGAAACGTCGACACTTCGGGTAAAACATAATCGGCGTCAAATCAGATAATACATTTTCGAAGAACTTCTCAGTTTCGTAATCTGCCAGTCCCGTAACTACGCCGTAGTGTTGACAATCCAAGTTATCCAGGAAGTGCTGAATGTTTTTCTCCATTTGCAAAGTCGGAGCTGAGCAGTTTGGACAGTTTGTTATCATGGATCCGCGTGAGATTGTTTCGTCTTGGTGATCATCGAATGGACACGAATGTTTGTTCGATTCGTTATTATTGCCAGTATCTCCAGCGGAAAGATTTTCTGCATGTTGACTATCTTCGGTGGCATTTTTAGCTGCCAGTTCCTCGGTTTCTGGGGCATCTGGTAAAAGCGTTTGGCACTTGCAACACTTGACCTGGAATACGCTCGGACACATTTCAGCGATGCAAGGCCAATCTTCGACACACGCCACGCAGTCGCAAGACGTGATGCGAGGTGAAATTTGCTTCTGGACGAGCAAGCGATTTGGTTTCTTCGTCTCCAGAAAGTCCCTACCTGCCATTGCAATCGTCAGCTGCTCTCCGATTTTCACAGGCAGAATTGCAGTAACCACAATTTTTCCGTTTTGAAAACGTTGATGGCAATTGGGGAAACAAGAGAGTTTACAGCTCCTAGTCACGGGTGCGACGCAACTTCCGATGACAGTTTCGTAACTGGATTGGATCAACCAGTTGACCGTCGGGCGGGAAACCAGTTCCGTAATTAGGTTTTCGTTGACGGGAAGCACTTTCAGCAACTCGAGAAGCGCTTCGGTGCACATTAGCTTTAGAACTTTGGTGGATTCTTCGCTTGTTTGAGATCCCAAGACACTAACCCCGAAATCCGTGGCAGCAAGAAGAGTATTGGCAAGAAAGACGGAATTTATTGCTGCGACGTAAGCAGCATCTGGGTCAGCGAAACCGCTTCCATTCTTCGATCCCAGCATGGAAACAAGTTCGCAGAAACTCCTGTGAATGCTCGTGTCCGGTGTGAGAGCGGATGGACCGATACTGGTGATGACCCTCATGGCCAGGAGAGGTGTTCCCCTGAACGTTGCTTCACTCAAAGTTCCCATGATGCCACATTCGTACTTGTGATAGGAGGAAGCGTCTTTCAAGCAAGGATCCGAGCAGAAAACTGCCTGTGAAGAAAGAACATAGTCGAAGAATATTGTGCGAAAAATTTGAGGAAGTTTTTGATTCGTACGGACCATTGAGCAGCCTTTGCATGGAATTGGAAGATCGCATCGCTTCAAGCACTGATGGCATCGGCTCCACCACACTTCGGGATATAATACAGTTGTTCGCGGATTTTCAACGATCAATATGTCCCCTGCAATTTTTTGAAAAACCTCTTTAGCTCGAACCTCTCAAACTCGATTTTTTTTCTAGTTCTGAGAATTCAGCTCTAGTTTCCCTGACCTTAACTCGAAACCTTTTTGAAGTCGAATTTTTTTGTTTGTCCTTTCAAATTTAACTTGAAATCGTCTTACGGAACTGATGTAGCAGGCGAAAGTGCCCGAGATTGGTCGTCTGCTTCAATTTGTACAGGATCTTAATGGAAACAAAGCATTACTATGTGTTCATGAAGAAGTTTTTGATCTACGATAACTTTTCCTTCAACAAGCCCAAAATTATCAATACAGTACTGTGCACATTCATATTCCCCTACTTACGCAAATAGAAAAATCCCCATAAACTTTTCATGCGCGAAATAAAAATTCCATGGATAGGCGAAGATAAAAATCACTTTCCTGGTGTTCTAACATTCTAAGAGCCTAAAATTTCTGACTAAATTTATGTCACTCAACCCTTGCTCTGTCCTTCAGTCAATGACTCATGGACCTCTTAGTTCTAAAAGCTGACGATTTCTTCATTTTTAATTTCAATTACAAAAGAACTGAAAAAAATAAGTGCTGAATTGTTTTGTGGGCCGCGAACAGGAAGATTTACTGATATAGACGGATGTTACGCGAATTGCATAAATATGCGAATACAGTATTTTTTAAATCAGGGATCAACACCAACTACCCCTGAAATGATACCAGTAATAGACCGATGTGTGTCACTCGCCTGGTCTAATGTTTTTGGCAGCTATGATGAATCCGTCTGAACTGCCATTCACGGCTACAGAAACAGAAGGCTCATTAGGGTTCGGCAAATCGTGAAGCACCGGCTGATCTTCCGTTGGCATCACTCCTGTCATGTGTCGTGAGCAAAAGCGTGCCCCAGTGTTTGAAAAGTTGCAATCCGTGCAACCGTGGCTCAGATACTCGCAGCTGTAATTCAAACTCGACATGAACGATTGGTACTCGAATTTCTCTTGCTCCAGCGTTGCCAAGGTTCCGATGTCGGCCTGGGGATCACTTCGAGCGGATCCCGCGAGTGCGATTTGAGTACTGACTTTGTGCAATGCTTCCTCGAGTGTTTTCTTCGCAGTAAGTACTTGTCCCATTCGCACGAGGCACTCGGCGCGTTTTCTGAGCAGACGATGCTGTCGACTGTCTGGATATCCAGTTCTTTTTGCTCGCTCCATTTCCGTCAAAGCGTCTTGAAATCTGCCCATTCTTGCCATGATCATCGCTCGACATTCGTGCAACAACGCAAGTTTTGTCGGCTCTGTTTGCTTGGCGCTGTCGTAGTCGGACGGCGGTGGCTTGACCCAAATTATGGCGGAATTTATGCAAGAAAGCGCCCGCGAAAAGCAACATTCTGCGAGAGCTGCGGAACTGTCCGCCTTGAACTGTTCTGACGTTTCCGAACATTTCCCGCGGCTCCAGTGGGCATATTTAAAGTCTCGTGCTTCTTGAGTTTCCGAGATGAACTTGGCGAGTTCAGCCGTTGTCATCAAATCACTGCGGCAAAGTTCCAGGATTTCTTGTCTCCTTGGTTCAAATTTCTCGTGGAATCTCGTAACAGCGACGAGAGAATCTGCGAGTGACGGCGACATTTTATCTTTCCGGCGAAAATGCGCAAATGAAATTAAATCAGGCCGTCATTGAAAAGACTGTGAAATGAGTTAATTTAGATTTCAGTGTTTTTCTAGACTAAAGCTAAGATCTTCTGAAAATCTATCTTTTAACGGTGCATTTATGATTATTCGGATCTGTGCAATATTTGCGTGCCTTGTAAAGGTTCACGCTGGGAATTTATTTTTCCGAGAAACTGTGGCTTCTGTGAGATGATTGTAAGAATGAATCCGATTATTTCGAACCTTCGCGGAATATTTTTCTCAGAAACTGCGGAAATTGAGACATTTGCATTACTAGCACTGTGAATACATTACAACTCGAATTAGGCGCAATAATATTTTGTGATCCCGAACGTGTTGTGCTCATCTGATCTATCATGAGGCGCTAGGAGTTGAGGAAATCATAGTCAAGGTGTTCACGATTTTTTTAAATGTTTTTTATACCTAGCTCCGGAGCATCGAAATTCGAAAAAATTCGGAGAGCATGTATTTTTGAATGTTTTTGATACTTTGTTTTGTAGCATCGGAAGAATTGAGAGAACATGTGTGTCCAGGAGCTTCCACCGAGCAATTTTATGTTGAAAAGACAGGCAGAGAACGAATCATGCGACTTCCTAACCAGAATTATTGTTTGAATGATGCCATTAATGTGTTCTGGTTTTTTTCGGGGTACTGCATACGACGAAGTAGTGAGTGTTGTGAAATAAATTAACTTCCGGATATTATTTTCTTTCAGCTGTGAAGATGGAGTTGAACCGGGGTTAGAGCGAATGGAAAGCGTAACGTCGTCCATGCACACGCCCTGTTTTTCGCCAACAGGAACCGAGCTGTTCCACCATGCCTCGTTTCGACCGCTTACTCAAGTCGCCATGCATTTTTAGTGCGCCATTTGTGAACAAGCATTGTGTAACAGTCATACATTCCAAGACGAATTTGTCTTGGCTTTGCTTGCTTGCTTGCTCTGCCTTTTTTTTCCTTCCCGCGAATGCACATCTTTGCCATTCCCCTGAAGCATTCAACGAAATATTCCTTATTTTTCTAAATTTCGCTTTGGGAAAAGAAAATTGACGTCGATTTTTTTTTCTTTTTTTCATGGACGATCTTCTTCCCAGCATTGGAGGCGGCGTCAAGAGCCAAAGAATCCATGGTGTGCGTGTTTCTGTGTATGCTTGGGTGCGGTGTAAAAGTTTTCTTGCGACCAGTCACGTCATAAGAGGATTTTTCTGAAAGGTTTTCAAATCTGGTCAATTTGGAAAATCGTCGGTCTATGAATATGTTTCTTTTCTTAGATCATGAGTTTATTTTTTTTCTTTCGGAAGTATGGATTGTCCAAGGAACTCTTGATTTTTGCGATCACTCGAAGAAGCGAAGGTATGCTTGCTCTTTTCTTTCTCCCATTCTTCCACGATAGTGATGCGATGCAATAGACTAAAGCATGTTGTTACCAAGTTATATCGAACTACTGTACACGAAATTGTTCCTCAACAATAGATGATGGCTATCTCCTGAGAAAAAGAAAGTATTCGTGGACCTTCGAAAATCTCGAGCCTTAAGACTTGAAACATGTTCCAGCTAGTGTACTTGCTGACAATAATGTCGAAGCGGAAGTTACAGGGGTTGGCGGGACTTCCGTCACGACCGTGCTTTGGCTAGGTGTTCTCCGAATCACGGGAATTTTGTATTGATTGATGTTCATGGTGTCGCCGGAAGAAATCGATTCAAGCGCGTTGACATGGGAAATTGTTCAAAATACGACCTAATGATCAACATTGTGTTCCGGTCTCCTCGTGATTTCCACACTTTTTTGAGCATAGAATTTGTTCAAATTCACCTGAAGTTTTTTTCCGTTTCAGGTTTATGTGTTGGCGTAGTGAGTTGTGACTGTTAAACGCATTGCAAAAAATTGAGCATCTTGAAGTGTGACTTCGCGATGAAATCCGTCCAATTTTCATTTCCAGGAGCTTACTTACTCCACTGAAAATTTTTTCAAAAAGTTCGCTTTAAATTCTCTGGTTTCATCCAGCTTTTTGAACTTAAGACATAAATCACCTCAATCACGAACGTGACCAAATACTGTATATAACCGAATGGAATTTGACGAAATGTGTTAGAAACCTGTCTAGTGTGTTATAAAATCAGAGACGCTTGTTACATAAAGGGGTGTTGCGAAATTGAATCTGAATATTTTGGAACGAGATATTCGGGTATTGTACGGTATTAAATATTGAATCAATGCTTGGGATCCGTGTGATGCATTTTGGAAAGGGAAATATTTTCGAAAGTACAGTACAGTATATCCAATTTTTTTTACATTTTCTCGTTCCAAAATCATGTTCAAGAGCCCGTTATTGAAAAGAAAAATTAAGAAAAACAAGCAGGGTGTAACAAGATTGGATCAACAAATTTTGGAACGTGAAATTTCGTATTATATAATGTTTCAAGGACTGGATACGTGTGATGCATTAGAGAAATGGAAGTACAGTAATTTCAAAATTATATTCCGATTTTTCAGTTGTTTTTTCAAATTTCCTTGAGCGAGAATCATGTTCGCCGTGAAACGATCTGTGAACCTGGCTAAGGCCATTGTGCCCGTCGCTCGAGCGGCTTCTCGTCGGGGTTACGCAGCAGACCCGAATCAAATGTCCTTCACATTTGCTGCTCCGAATGGGGTGAGATGTTTACCCTTTGATGGCGTTTGGAAATTTATGTTATGAGGAATAATTAGTTTATTTTTTATTTTTCCAGTTTCCTCATAGTTTTCATAGTTCAAGTAAACTGTTTTTGTAAACTTGAAACTTGGCTCGTGCTTGAATAAATCGAAGATTTCCTAGAAATCAATCAAAGGCTGTACTTTACGTATAAAGTTGACGCACCTCTGTACAGGTATTCTACAATGCTGCCAGTGTTCGACAAGTGGACGTGCCTTCTTTTAGTGGCAGCTTTGGTATCCTGCCCAACCACGTTCCCACGTTGGCAGTGTTGAAACCCGGTGTTGTCACTGTCGTTGAAGATGATGGAAGCTCCAAGAAGTTCTTCGTTAGCAGTGGGTCGGTATCGGTGAATGTTGATAATTCAGGTGCGTACTTCAAATATGAACGATACCACGAAAGGGTTCCGACGTGTGTTTCCTGAAACGGTGTTGTAATCTGTAATAATCGTGAACTCTTCTACGTTGGCCGAAGAGGGTTTTTTCAAATTTCGGCGATGTTGTCCCAGAAAAATAATTCAACAGCCTTGTTTTGAATTAATATGAGAGCATCTACATATGGTACTCATCGATAAAATTCCCTCTCGTTCAATGTACTGTATAACCATTTTAAATTTGAAAAATTCGTGCATCGCATCAATTCTTAAAAATGCGTTCTGACGGAATCCTCGCGAAAGTCAAATCCGAATTGGTTTGACGTCAGGACTTGAAACAAGTCTTCTTTCCCGATATTGCCTTTAATTGCTCATTCTACTTGCTCAATGACCGACGAATAAACGTTTCTGAATGGTTCCTAAATGGAAAATCTGAGGGATTAACTCGGAGTATTTTTAGAATTTATAAAAAAATATCCGGCAGTAACCTGACAATGTGCTTTTCCATAGAATGTGCAAATAAGATGAAAAATGGTTTCCTTCGAAGGTGCATTTCCAAATGTCCCATATCATATCGGCGGGGAGAATGAAGCATTTGTGTGTTTCTAAAGCTGGATTGCATCTGATTCATAATTTCTCCTACGCTTTTATGAAGTTTGCGTGAAAATTTTTTTCCCATTTATATTTCAGTCCAAGTTTTAGCAGAAGAAGCCGTTACACTCGACCAACTGGACGCAGGCGCGTGTCGTGAAACTTTGCAGTGGGCGCAAGGCCAAGTTGTTTCGTGTGCCGGAAACGAGGAGGCGAAAGCAGAAGCGGAAATTGCTGTAGAAGTAGCGGAAGCACTCGTGAAAGCTTGTTCCGAGTAGCCGTCTGCTCCTCTCGAATTTAGACTAAGGCCGTGTTAGCCACGTGTTTCGTGTAAAATTAGTTGTCATTTCGCGAAAGGAGATTTTGATTTTCTGTGCAATCTTCAGCCGATTTTTTTTGGTTCCATGGTTCTCAACATGGGGAAGACTGAATGAACGTAGTTACGGAACTCCGTTGGGTGGTTTATTATTATTGAACGAGGGGTAGCCGACAAGTTAGTGAGAAAAGTAAACTCGCCCTCTGCAGAAAAAAAGAGTGCATTTCCGAGATTCGAAATTCTCTGAAAGGCCATCTTTTGTTTCTGTCAGCTGAAGTGTTCGGAGCATCAATTAATTTCCACTTCGTTTTTTTTTCTAGAAATTTAAATCTGGAAGCAAACGAGTGGTACATTACATCGAAGTGTTTCCCGAAAATCTTGCAGTCATCAAGGAATGAACTTGGATAAAAATAATTTATTCAAAAATATCCATCTTATTCACTTCGAAAGAAAGCGAGAAATTGCGAATTTGTTCGATCGCCGAGAGGATTTTCTGCTGTGAACTGCGTTTTTTGAAGAATAAATTACTTTAAAAATAACTAGAGCGATTAAATGCACGACCTAAGGACAAACTTATACTGTACATTCTACATAGCTTCACAACTTTGGTTTTGTAATTTATTTAATGAGTTACCGAGAAATGGAAGCTCTTGAGAAAATCGACTCACAATTCAGCTACAGTATTACGAAAAAACTGGGAAACCTTGAGGCTGTTTCAGCGAAGCAAAAATAACTGAAGGCAGTCAAAATTGGAGGATCGAAGCCCAAAATTGATTACGCGAATTTTTTAATATTTGCAAGTCTTTCTCAGTTCTCTCGATAGTTCAACGTGAGCGGTCCTTCGAATAATTTCCCCTTACACCTCAACTTTACCCGAATTTTGATCGATACATTTTTTTTTACGCATCAATCGTAAATATGTAAAAGTCAATGATTGATTCCTTTCGCCTGCTATTAAAATATCTTGCTGACTTTCAAAACCCCTCATTTTGTCTTTCATCTGAAAATCTGTGGCCATTTCTCCACGAGAGCTTGTCGTTGCTACGTTTGAAGGGGGTTATTGTTGATGGTTCAAAATTGTTCATCATCTCAATTCTTATTAGTTTCAAGGTCATCGATCATATTAAAAAGAAATGACGCGGTACTTCCGGGTTTTTCTCGATTCCCACCGTTTCCGGCGAAGCTTTTGTACTGCTGTGCGAGAAAAATCTTTCAATGTCAAGGTAAACATATCAATTTTTACTTCGATGAATTGTTCGATTCAAGAAAAGCTTGATTTTTCAGCCGACTCATGCCCCGTCTGCAATAGCGATGCGACACATGGACAATTTTTACTCGAAGGTATTTGGTCAGAAGTTGTGGCGGTCCATTCGACTTGCATTGCATGCGCCTATGAAGAACATAGCCATTTTGAATTCGTTCGCTGTAAATTCGGATGACATGGAAAAGCGCCTCGCTGCGGAAGGATGCGTTCCGTTGAGCGATTTGTTGGAATTTTCGATGCGTGGAATTGAAATTACGAAAAAATCTCGAAGAATGCGAAGAGAAGCTAATGACAGCAATGTTGAACAAAATATGATGCCAGATGTACTTGGTGATGATCCGAGGTGAGATGCTTCAATCTATGTTTTATGACTATTTTGTTTCCTGCTTCGATTTTGTGACGAGAGTTTTTACAAATTATGTTCACAATTCAATATTTGTTTGGCACTGTGAAATTCAAGTCAAATGAAATATCGCGTCCTATATTCCCTTCAGTTCTCGGACAATCACGTCGGAGATGGGCGGGTTGAAGTCCAACTTGATAATGCAGTTCGTGCCAGCTTCTGAAATTAAATCTGAGGAAGGGAATGAAGCCGGTGATGAGGAATATTTTCAGTCTTATCCCGTTGACTTTCGAGGACCTCAAGTACAAGAGTTGGATGAAGTCTGCGATTTGTCGCATTTGCGAATATATGGCAAAACATACGGTGACGTGACACCTATGCCCTTGCCAAGAGTTGATGCTGTTGGTTTGAGATGTAAGTTTTACCAAAATTCACATATGTTCTGTTATTTCAGTGAATTTTTCCCATATGGCCGTTGTGACCATGATAAAATTTGGAATTTAGGCACTTGAATATTTTGCGGTAATTTTTGCAAGCTAACGTATTGGTTTTGGAAACTCGTCGGATGACTTCAGAAACTTGATCATTACTGTATCACTTTTATACTGTTACACAAAATCCAATGTGCTCAAACCCTTCAAAATATTCTGGGATCCACATTTTGGGCCAATTTTAATTATTTTAAAATTTTGAGAATCGGCCCATTTCCGAAAAGTTCAAAATGTTCAGTCCACGGTGCATGTAAATACTACATTGAAAACATTTTAATCCACTGCCAGGATTGGTTTCTCGGTGATCTAAATAAATATATTGTTATACTCGTATTTCAGCTCATATTTTGGCGGATTTGGGAGATATTCTTCCAGCTTTGGTATTGCAGTTCATGCCGGAGGATAAAGTTTTGTATCTGACATCTGATGAGCCTACTTGTCTACTGCCAGTTCTTCAGACTATGATGCCGAGTTAGTTCTTCAATTATCCTTGTTTTTCGTGTCGGTGATGATGTTTAAACGTTTTATGGCAGATCAGATTGTCGTTTCCACGTTCAAGGAAACCCAGATCACAGAGGTAAGAAAGTATCTAGCTCAATATACTCCAGGAAGTCATCACGTGGAAGTGGTTCATTCAAGCCTGGATAAAGTCGGTTTTCTTGGAAAATTCAACAGGGTACGAAGAACGATGAAATTTCAAAAGTCAAATTCTCCAAAAAAGAAGAAAATGCTTGCATTTCCAGGTGATTGTTGAACCCCCATGCACTCGTGACAGGAACTGCCTGTCCGATGATGTGGGAAACTCCTTTCACATTTCCCGAGCAAAAGAGCGAACGAATTTGCCTCAGGTTCAAGCGCAAATGTTGAAGTGAGTGAAATATTCAATAGTATCATTCGAAGTATTCGTGTATCATTGAAGTGGAACCACGATTATCTGAGCCAATGGCCGAATACATTCCCTGTAAAACAAATAATAAAATAATTGAACATTCAAAAAATTTATTTTAGAAGCATCGCGGTTTTAGTGATTTTGTATTCTATATGCCGTATGCCTTTCATACTCCCTCAAATTTAGATGAAAATTCAAAAAAGTTAAATATAGATAATCCATTATACAGGTACGGTAAATAGATTGAAGAGTCCAGCTCGTAAGTCATGTGACTTGGGTCAGATCTTTTGGATAGAATTATTTCAAACATGGATAATGGAGGTTCTCCTGAATGACATGCAGAAGTGTTTTGGAAATTCATTGTTTTGAATTACTCATTACGTTTGCAGCACAATATTTATTTCACTGTTTCTGGTGGTTCACTTACAATTTTAAAAAGACGACATCCTCAAATCATTACACTTGTTTTCAGAGTGGGCTTAGAAGCGCTTGAACGGAATGGAAAGCTCGTTTACATTACTTCAACGTTGTCGCCTGTACAGAACGACGGTGTAGTATTGAGAGCATTTGAGAGCCTAGCTGCTGAAGGACGAGAAAACCGTTTTGTTGTGAGGTACAATACATAAATTCCTCTTATTTTCTCAATACGTTGAATTTTTTTTGAAGATTAATTATAGTGGATTTTTATGAAGTCGCATTTTTGAGGCACAGTTCCCCAAGCAATGCTTAAAACATACAACATTTTGGATTGTTTTTTTTTAGTTGTCTGAAACTCCTATTACAGTATCAGAATTGCAGTGCTCAGTTTCCCACTTATTTGAGTTTTAAAAAGCAAAGTTAAAAAAAATTACCTACCGAATTTTAATTGAATTAGAATAACTGGATTACAAAAATGAACTTGGGATAAGGTGGAAAAAGCGAAAATTGTCAAATTTCTTGATTAAAACATGCGTTGTGTTTCAGGAATATGGAAGCGGCAGTCAGCGAATATGGAAAATTATGCCGAATGAGGCCTTCTGAAAATAACCTTGGCATGGTTCTCCTGCCATTTCTGCCCAACAACTACGGTTCAAAATACGTAGTGCGAATAGATGCCGACTGAACGTCGAATCCTTGTAAATTTCAACAGCATTACTGATTTTTTTCATGGCTACGTTCGGTTATTTCGTAAGGTGAACTTATTCGTATCTTGAAAAAGTGTGATCCAAGAGTGAGTCGGACGAAAAATATATTAGATATCTTGGAACGCTTTTATTATGAGCTCGGATTGCCTGGTTGAGCTGAAAACCAAGTGAGTCTTCTATGATGAAACTTTTGGGACTATTTTATCAATTGAAATTTTTTGAAGTTCTTTCAAGAATCCGACGCATGCTGCGCAAGTGACTCTTGATGCCGTCCGAAATCTCGTCTTGGGAAACGCTTGGACTTGTGCCAAGTTAGTAGATAATGCAATATTTTTAAATTCATATTTTCTTTTTGCGCGTAAGGTCCTCGTTAAGTTATTTTGTACTATTCTATTCCTCAGGGATCTTTTCAACGTCTTGACACCCACTGAGCGATGCCTTTTCGGCGCCATAAATGAAAACGCACCATTTGCGCGGAACTTAATTCTGCGATGCTTGAAAATAATTCGCGATGACTATACTGCAATTTATGATGCTAATAAAAGCTTGGATACGCATACGCAAAAGCCATCCGTGGGCTGGGATGCACAGCCGTCGTACGCTGTTCCGTTTGAAGACCTGAAGGAAAGATTATTGGACAGTTTGTCAGAATTGAGTGCGGAAATGGAGCTCAAGTGAGTTGTGATGACGACTGCATAATCTTAAAATTATCGGATCTGGGAGTTGTTTCGTTTTGTTAATACCGGTACTTGTGAAACATTTTTCTATCGTCTTCGTTGATACCGTACAATTCGGGAAAATAATTCAGCACCTGTTTTATTCTTTATCTATGCATGACGTTTTTAATTTGTTTTTATTATTTTGTGGAAAGAATGGATGCTTGAAAATCGACGAAAATCTTCCAAGATGCCCTTATACGGTAAAAACAGAAATGACGGAAGAAATGACCAAAATGTAACTTCTGTATCTAACAAATCGGTGGACATTTTTCTTAGCTTCGATTGAAAACCACGCAGCCTTCTCTTCCCGCGTTTCAGTAGTGTTTTAAATAGTGCATTAAAAATCCATTTTATCAAATTCATTCCTGCAAAGGGCAATGTTTATTTTATATGATGCTAAGAAATTCTGTTCTGATTTTAGTCATTTTACTTAGACTTCTAGCTTATGATCGAAATAATTTATTAAAAAACATTTAATGTACCGTAATTTTATTAAATTTTTATTTTATTATAGTGCATTGAATATGGCGCAACATGCTCCACAGCATGTGCACACGAACGACGTTGTTCTCACGATGGGTTACTCTCCGCATGTGGAGCTCTTCTTGAAAACCGCAGCTAAAAAAGGCCGTTCATACCATGTTATAGTCGCAGAAGGAGGTCCAGAAAAACTGGTATGAAAGAGAGGATTTATGAAATGAATATCGTGATCAAACTTAATTCTAAAACGCCGCATAGAGAAATGAAAAAAAATATATACTCCGCGGCGAAATCAAAGATTCTTCGCATTATGACGTCCAAGAATAATAATCTTCCGAGTGTTATCCCCGGTGTCGGCGGAAAATCTTTTTCATGTTTGACATTTTTCTTTGTAAGGTTACTTGTAAAATGACGAAGGGAACCAATTGCTAAATAGAGTATCCAGTAAATGTGCGATACATCATCATAATTCCACTTTGACGAAAGACCTTGAAACACTTGTGGGACGTCATTTTTGAATGGTTGAAATCTAAATGTCTTGAGCATCCCTCAATATCCCTTCTAATCGATCGCAGGGTCGCAAAATGGCTTGCAGTCTTGCGTCTGAAGGGGTTGCTGTAACGCTAATTTCGGATGCTGCTGTATTCGCCGTGATGCCGAAAGTTAATAAGGTTGTACTTGGAACTTACCTCGTGATGTCAAATGGTGGCATTCGAGCTATGTGTGGATCGCATTTGGTTGCCCTAGCAGCATCCCGTTATGCTGTTCCAGTAAGTCTCGTATTTTTCTAGTCTAAATCTTTACTTCGCATTCAAAAGCAACTGCGTTTCCTCGACTTTAGGACTTGACTTTGGAAGCCCCAATAGTAAAATTCCATATTGGACAGCCTTGGAACACATTGTAAATTATGAGTCAGAGTTCAAGTCTTTCTTGAAAAACGTAGAATGAAGTACGTATACCCTGCTGTTCTATCTTGAGTTACATCCTTAATCCGTTTCCGCGCGAAGACAGATACGAACGGAATGCTGATTGCGAGTAATCAATGAATAGGACGAACAGAAAAAATCGGGTAATGAGCGGATTTTCCGGTTTTACTTCTATAGTTCACTGAGGTTACCCAGGACTTTCAAAAAGAGATTCTTGCGCATGGAAATGTTTCAATGGTGATGAAATTACTGTGAAGGAGGAATTATTTTTTTGGATGAACTGTAGTATTTTAAAGGCGTATTTCCTTTATGAAAACCGATCCCAATTCTGGGAAATTACGGTAGTGAGGTGCATCTTCAGCCATATAAAACCTTGAATATATAAATAGCAAACATGTCTTCCGTCTTGATGATGATGTGTCTCTCGCTTCCCTGCTGGAGCCACGATTATAATGGTCCATTGTGGCTCCGATCTAGGTATTGATTTGTTCAACGTCTTCAGCACTGGTGCCGGAGTATCCTGAAGTGTTTGAGGAATCAATGATGCACAAGGCACCGTTTCATGACTTCGCTCCGAAAGCATTGTGCGTGATGAAGGACGGAACGCGGCCTGCTATGTGTAATCCCATGTACGATTACGTGCCTCCGGACTTGATCAGCATATTTTTGTTCAACTCGTAAGTGTTACAGTGCTTCGAACGTTCATATTTTCGCATGAATTTCCTAATCATCGTGTGAACTATTGAGCGTTCTTGATTTTTTTTTTTCAGGGGAGGATATGTACCTTCTTATGTGTACAGCTTGCGAAGTGAACTTTATTCTCTTGAAGACATTTCATGGATACCTGGTCGTTCCCCTGATGGCGAAAAGTTGTCTCAATAAAATGATTTAATTTTGTGTGAGCGTATTCATTTATAAATCTGGAATCCTCGAACTTCATCTTGAACCATTTTGCGAGCCATGTGCATTGCATGATCACTACAGTACCAGACTGTCTTTCAAGACGTGGTTCAAAAAGTGGGATTTCCACTGGTTACTTGAATTGGTTTGCTTGGTCCATTGGACACAATATGCTGACGACGTGATGTCTGAGCTAACTGAGAGGAAGTGCCCGGGAAGGTGTGCGGAGTGTACGGACCAGGAAACGAACCGATCATTTATCCCAACTCATCGTTAGAGGCCCGTAGATGAATGCGGAACCCATACGAGCTTGTGCTACGTTTTGGGAAAATATGCTGTGGTATAGCGCTTCTGAGCGTGCGTAGTTGCGCACTGGCTACGCCTGGAAGCTTGCCAGATGAAGTCGTCCTGTCGCGCGTATCATAGTTAACCATGGGTGTTGACGGAATGGTTATGAACTGATCCAGGAAATCATGATGTACGTATGATAGTTTCGAATATAAGTGGCGGGCATCATTTAGCACATAAATAGGAAGTAACGGTTTGAAGACCAAAATCGATTGATGCTGGTTTCATCGCTCTCTGGACATATCCCGCGTCTCAGTTCCATCTGCTTCCTGTAAAATTGGCTTGGAAAGAATGTTACTATTTAATTTTACCACCTAGCACGAAACCACGACCGCTGTGAATTTATCGTATCATTGCATCGTGCTGGGCAATAGTGTGCGTTCAAGTTCGCCCTTCGCAAAATCATGGCCTGATTGTTTCGAAAACGCGTGTATCGCTGTCAGAAATTGAGGCTTGTGTACCCTTTTTCTTATTTGTTCAGGTATGTGTACATAAAAAGGGAGTGATGGTGTCGAATTCCTCGTGAAGCGCTCCTGCCTGCGTGAATCCGTGTACGCGGATAGTGGTTCTGATGGATACCCAGTGCGCGAGTATGAGTGATGTGGCTCGGTCGTGAGCATGAAGAAGTTCACGTTCAAGGGCGTGTTGGATGGTTTTACCAACAAAGGCGGCGACGGTCAAGTCGCTCCAAAGCCACCAAAAAATGAAGTTGAAGAAACGTTGAAATCCTTGCACTTCCGTGCTTGCAAGGTTTGATGTGATACTTGCCTTAAGTTTTCGAAAATCTAATTCGAATTTGTTCGTCGTTATTTGCAGACCGTGCGTCATGGGTTCCCGTTCGAACCCACGACGCTCGCTCATGATCCCGTACAGAAGCTCATTGCCATCGGCAACAAGAAGGGGCATATCAGAATGTACGAGTATTCGTAGTCTCATGAGATCAAGCGATTTTTTTTTCACGGAATTTTATCACTGTTCACAGACTTGGGCAACCAGGAGTTGATATCCATCTGGAAACACCGAGCCGAGTCCCTGTAATTCAACTGGCATTTATGATCAATAATGGGGGACTTGTTGCTGCTATGGCAGACGATACTCTTGTTCTTTGGAACTTGCGCCAGAAGAATCCAGAAATTGTCAATTCCGTGGGTTTCCAGCGCGAACGCCTCACATGCGTTAATCTTCCCCCCACTAGTCGTTTCGCGTACGTCGGCACTGATCGTGGAAATGTCTATGTCGTCAATGTGTCGACATTTGACTTATCAGGATATGTTGTCAACTGGAACAAAGCTATTGAAGTGTAAGAATCTTAAAATTGTATTTTTGATTGTATCGGTAGTATTAAATCGAGTGACTTGGCAGGACTCAAAAGAGGCATCCGGGTTGCGTGGTACATCTAAGCGAAAATCCTTTGGACAACTCCAAGCTCCTGATTTGCTATGAAAACGGTTCTATGGTTGTCTGGGATTTGCCTAAGAAAACCGGGGAAGTGAGGTTTACTTGGCCTGATGCCCAGCTTCGGTCAGCTTCTTGGTTTTCTGACGGCAAGCAGTTCATGTGCTCGCATGTTGATGGCTCATTGACGACGTGGTCTCTTCGACAACCGCAACGTCCTATATCTCACGTCTTCCCACATGGTTAGTGTTTACTGTGCTTCGATCTTAAATTGTCTCGGTTTTCATTGACTTTGCAATATCAATAGGCAAGCAAGGTCCCGAAGGAAAGCAGGAACCTTGTGAGCCGATATTTAAACTGGAGTGGAAATCTTCTCGTGGATTGTACGTTTTTTACCCTTTTTCGCGAAAAGTGACGCAAAGATTTAAACGCATGATCACTTTTGTAGGGAAGTGAGAGACGCGCTAGTGATATTTTCTGGAGGCTTGCCTTCGGAGTCGAAAAGTCCGTCGAAAAATTTGACACTCATCAACGGCAAAAATACGACTGTATTGGAAATGGAGCATCCTATCATTGATTTTGTTGCGATAAGTGACAAACCTTGGAGTTCTGGTGAGTTTAGCTTCTTTATTGAATTCGTGGCGTTTTTCCGCGCCAAGTGTCCTCGAGAATCGGCCCATTATCCTTGAATGGGGATGTTTAGAAAAGATACCGGGAATGCAACAAAATTCTTTGCATGAATTTCGTTGTTGAGGAATCTTAATACTGTAGGTCAGTTCCGGGCAATTGAAAAACACCTTTTTTATAATAGCGACAGTTTTTCTGTAGTTCTTCTCTGAAGATTTTTTCAAAAATAGAGTGCTTGTCGAATGAACAATTTACATGCTTCGGGAGAAGTTTTTCTGGAAATCTTAAATTTTTTGATTCCTGTTATCTTTGTTAGATTCTCAGGATCCGTTCGCTGTGGCGGTATTACTCACAGAAGATTTGGTAGTATTGGACCTGACAGTGACCGGTTATCCTTGCTTTGAGAACCCTTATCCTATGGATATTCATGAGTCTCCGGTCACATCCTGCCTTTATCTTGTTAACTGCCCTGGCGAGCTTATCGGCACATTTTATCAAGTCGGAAAGCGAAATTCCAAGAGGGGTCAGTTCAGCCCCAATTCATGGCCGATCGACGGTGGAGTCCCTGGCACTCCTACAACCAGCTACTCGGAGATTGTGGTCACAGGGTGAGTTTGTGCGATGATCTAATTTTCCTGGTGTATCAACTTTCGCTGTACAGTGTGCAGATATTTCTTTAAATACCGTTGTGCGCTCGTAAAATACCATTCCTAAATTTTTTACATACTTGAATTTTCTCTGGTCGAAGAAGTTGCATCGACATGACGTAATTTATGTACTGTACAGTATTTTGTTGAGCTTTCTTGTGCGAAAAGCCGGGTAATTTATGTTATGGGGAAGCGGTTCATGCTACGATATGCAGTATCTGTTGAAGTATTTTTCTTGTTCGCCGTTCTATTGAATACTTCGCGAATGTGATGACGATGCTTGTTGGGAGTTGGTAAAAAGATCGCACAGCTTATTTATTTGATTTTGATCCTTAGTGGCTTTCAGTGACAAAATATTTGCCTCCGATTTTCGTTTGTAACGAGGCTGGAATCTGAAAGAATCCGAGTACTGTATTCTCTGGAATGCTTCACAATAATCGATGAGTGCTGGTCTCCATGCTTGAACACCATACAATACCATATATTTTATTCGAAACATGAAAGTGCTATGAGTGGAAGAGTGATTTCAAAGCATGAGCTTACTCTTCGTGATCATCGACAGTGGAATTTTTTTTATTCTGAAAAATTACAGGCATGCGGATGGAAGTGTGAAATTTTGGGATGCCTCGGGGTCTTCGCTGCAGGTTTTGTACAAGCTAAAAACTGGCAAGATATTTGATCGACCGAAAGCGATCGCGACAGAAGATCCGTTTGCAGTCTCTAAAATGTCCTGGTGTCCAGAAGGTAGATTTCTAGCAGTTGCTGGAGCCAGTCCTCACGTTTTACTGTTCACTTTCCACAAGCACGAAGTTACTTCGCACGTTCCGGTGAGTGCAAGCGATGAGGAATACCTGCGAAAATATCGTGAAGTGATTTTTTTAACGTGTGTGTCGGGGATTTTGGCGACAGTGCTTGGAAATACCGATTGTTTACGAAGTGTGCGACGATGAAGATACCGCTACCACGGGATTCGATTTCGTCCCACGAGGAGATAAGTCTCCCACGTTCGGCGAAAAGAAAAAGGTACGCCTCCTAGATTTTTTTTACGTAGATTGATTTTTGTTTGTCGCTGGGAAATACTGGGCAAGCGTAGTTCTTCGATTTTCATGAACTCCAGATAAGTTACTTGCTGTTCCAATTAATTCCTTATGCGTCCGGGAAATATAATGCTTTCATTTTTCAAATTATCCGTTCGTGCTGTATTTTTCGAAACGAAGACCAAACCCGATAAAGCTTCATGTTGCCGAAAATTCCGAACGAATAAGAATTTAAAGAATAATATGAATCACCCAAGAAGCGAGTTTCGAGCTTATCTTTTGATGTACAGTATTGCTGAATTATTCGCGTTACTGTAGAGCTATTTATTTTGTCCGTATTATTAGTTATTTGAAAGGAGTAATATTTCTTGGCCGGAAAGGTTCCAAATTTTAGCGTTATCCAACGTGATTTTTTGTCGGCATCTACGCGTCGTCGTGTGCATTTTGTAGTGAAAGAATAATGAATTGTTCGTATGTGTTTTTTGTTTGTTGTAGTCTTTGGAGTACTCGGTGCCACTGACAGTCCGTTCTGGTCTGATCCGGAAAGCCCCAGGATTCCAAATCCAATTTGTGTGCCTGACGCCGACTGTAGAAGGGCGACGTCCGGGTCCCATAACTGCACTGAAACTCAACTCGGCTTATAACCTGTGAGTTTCTTTGTTTTTCGTCTTCTTTGTTTTGTCATACCAAGGGTGTGCAAACTTCCTGAGCCTCGGGAAGTTCATTTTTGGGTTCGTTTCATGGCATAGTATCAGATTCCGTGGGGAATTTTTTCTACCCAGTTATTTTCTATATCTTGAAGATGAGAAAAATTTTATTCTATACTTTAGGGGGACTTTTTCCTAATTTTTGCCCAACAGGAGAACCATTTTACCCCCATTTACTCGAGTACCACGCGCCCTCGAGTAAGACACGCCCCTCCATTTTGTTGCATAGAATTTGCCCAGAAAACTATCCTAGTGTAGCCGTGTATGACGCGCACCCAATCTTTTGCTGGTTTCAAAAATGTCTTTTCTTCGAATAATGGTGTTCCACTTGAAAATCATGTCATTAATCGTAATAACTTGAAGTATGGTAACAGGATAAGTATCGTTTATGATTTTCAGCTCATAATTTTCTTCTACAAAGATTTCTTTCTGACTAGCACCTCTGATTTCCTGATATTTCGTTTTTTTTTTTCTTCAAAAAATCTATACCCGCATACGAAACGCACCCCACTTTTCTGCCTTTGTTTTGCGGAAAAAGATGCGCTTGTTACTCGGGTAAATACGGTAAATATACTTCCTTTAAAGTAAGTCTATGGGAAAACGCGACATGACCTGCCACTTTTTTTTTTTTTTTTTTTTTTTTTTTTTTTTTTTTTTTTTTTTTTTTTTTTTTTTTTTTTTTTTTTTTTTTTT